AGTGGTGTTCCTGTACAGCAGCAAAAGCTGTTGCTCGACTGCTGTGGGTAGGTACAATCAATGTCAAACACAAGTCTTGTTTCCTTTTTTTCAAATGTGTTAAAAAGTGGAAAATTAGAATGTTACATGAGTGTTTAAAAGGCCAGATCACTCTCAGCTTTTACAGTTTATAAAAATTGTTAGAATATCATGAAAAATGTCATTAAAAAAAGTAACCTGATTATTTTTCCTGTGTTGCCCTCAATTATACCCTGGCTCCCTAAAGTGGCACTCAGTCATCAAAACTTTGGATCCCTTGATCTAAGATTTTTTTTATTTTTATTTTTAAATGGTCTAAAATGATACATTTTGCTGTTAAGTTTCTAAATATTTATCCAGGGGAAAATTCCCCCCAAATCCCCTATGAGGCTGGAGTCACAGCCAGATCTCTCACAGAGATTGAACATGGTCCCCACCCAATGTTAAAGAGGTGATCTGACTTGTCTCAGATTAGAATAAAAGCAGTTACTGACAGTAGTAGCTGAAAACATAGGCTTACCTGAACGTGTGTTTGGCGTGGTTGCTTTAAATTTTGATTAGTTAGTTTAATTAATTTAGATTAACTAGTTAAATTTTTGCACTCGGTGTTTATAGATATGAGCATCTACTCAAAGTATAAACATGTAAATACAATTAAAAACAAGTTATACTTACTGTGTTGAGGGGACTTAGCTGAAATAAAATCAAAAGAGATGTCAGATGCCACAGTTGCAAATATATTTTCACCATTAACTCTAACGCCCTACCTACTTAAAAAGGTTAGAAATATCTTTTACAGTTCTGTTAACATCTTTATTTTAACACCATTAAGCTAGGGTCATATTATAATGACACAGTGGCTCTGAGTCTTACACTATTCACTGGTGGCTACTTCCAACTGTGATGTGCATTGAATTAACACTTTCAATTTTGAAAACTGGATTCGACTATCAACTTTTATCTCTTAACAACTTTGATGAATTTAGGCCGCTCATCATCTTTAGCACAGACTTTGTAACTATCAGAGAACTACTGTATGATCAGTGACTACGACTAAACAACAGAGGGTACTGTGGCTCTGCTGGTTGCTTCCCATTTGAGCAAATGAAGGATTAAATTTTGATCAACTTTAGCTCTCAGTGAGAGCATTTTTTTTTAATTCACTCAAAATCTAAAATGTAAAAAATAACCAAAACAAACAAACAAAAAAACAAATTGCACTAACAAGGTGGAGGGTCTTTGGATCTAAAGTTTGTTTCACTTTGCAATCTGGATATGCATTAATTCATAGACTAAAAAGTATCTGAATTGGAAAAGTCAAATTTGGAAATCCTTGATTCTCTCACCTTTCTTTCTTTTGTACACCACAAATCCAATGACAGCGATGAGTACAAGAGCAAGAACAACAACTGCAGCAATGATGGGAATGGTCATGTCACTGGGCTTTTCTGCTGAGCATAAAAAAACAAAAACAAAAAAAATCACAACCTGTAAAGATGAAGCTCAGTAAATGACTTTGGTCATTGCTTAAAAACTGTGTCTATAAAATATACTTAACTATTGTTTTATCATGTTTCATGACTGATAACTGAAGAAATAATGATTTGAACAACAAACAAAAAACACAACTTTGGCAAAATATTACTTTTTCAAAATGACCAAAACTAATGTCCACTTGAGTGTAAACCAATAAATAATATGATATTTTCAATGCTGCATTTCTGACCTTGTACTGTATAATTCAGAGGTTTACAAAGAGTCAAAAAGCAGCACACAGAAACCAGTGGGTCTCATGCAACCTTTTTGTAGTGTTATCCTAAATCTCTCTCTCACTTTGTTTTGAGAGGTTTGGGTGTACAAGTGTTCCAAGTCACATAACTCTCTTAACTGGAAAAAATCATTCATTTTAGCCTGACAAACACCTGTTAATGAGGAGGTTTGTGTTCATGAGATTTCATCAGTAATTAACACCTCAAAAAACACCATTTAAGACAGCCTGTTCTGCTCTGCTTGTGAAAAAGTTTCATTCACAAAATGTTACTTAAGAGTGAAAGAAAGAATTCCATACTGAGGAGTGTCAAGTTCTGGGGTTGGAAATCAGCAAACAAATGTCAGTATCATAGGATTAGAAGACCGCAAGAAGTTAGAAAATATTAATAATAAAGCTGTTAACAAAGTGTCATCAGAGCAGTGTTGTACTGTGAGAGAAATAGAGGGAATGATTTCATAGGAGATGCTAAATAATCTGACAACTGAAAAGTATCAGTTGCTGTGCCTTAGTATGCCAATAATATCATAAAATCTTCAAAAAAACCCACCAAAACTTAGAATTACCAACTGGCAGTTATATATCTATGTGGACCAGGCAAGTTGCAGTTGGAGTTTACATCCATGTCTGTTCAGACCCATATGCAGACGCAANGGCATCCTGGAAGAAAAAGAGATGTGAGAGGAGTGACATATAACACAGCGTCTGCCTCTAGTGTAACATATAACTTATGCTTCAGCAGCGCTTTGTAACCAGTAACAATGGCATGACAAGGAAATAACAATAATTTACTGTCCCTGTTAAATGGCTGCTAATCTCGTCCTCTGCACTGAGGGCAAGGTGCTTATTGCTTTCCCAATTTTCTGACATGCCTGCTTGCTGGTCCCTGTCCTGTCTGTGGCTAACTGCTGCTAGCTGCTTTTTGAATCTCCCAGCGGTTGTACACATAACACGTCATGAAAACAACATGCCCATGCCGCCCATGATCCCGTCCTGCCGGCTGTCCCTTTACACAGATGTTGATTTTGCGCTGTTATTACCTCAGCTGCAGGCTTACAGGTGAGACAACTCTGTTCCCCCATTCTGCAATAGTATATTTTATTTATTTTTTATTTTTTTATTTAAGAACGGTGAGGCGGAATGAGGGCACGATATTTCCGCCTTTAACAGGCATTGTTAAAGGGGCTTATGAGTCAGATTCACCCCTTGCTCCTCCACAGCTCCACCCTCTCATCCAAATATGGTCACTTCTGGCTCCAAAAACCCAAGATGGTGATGGCTAAAATGGCAGCCTTTAGGCTTCAAAACAGGGACTCCCTGGAACTCCCTCAAAGATACCTGGGGGTCCCTGGACCACAGGTTGAGAACCACTGTGATAGATCATCTCAAAGAAAACTGACAAATAAAAGTTATTTAAAATAAATTCAAATAAACAGTTTTTTCACAGTTATTTTCAGTTTTATATATAATTTACACAATATCTGACTGGTGTCATTTTTAAGTGAAAAACTAAATCCAGTTCACCACATAAAAATGTCTTGTAAACATTCAAACATCCTCACAGATTGGAGATCATCTGGACACCATTACAGAGAGTTTAGAAGTGCTGTACATGACATGACAGTACACAGTGACACATCGGCATCCAGGAAAACTCTGTTGAAGAGGAACATCACCAATGTTGTCCAGTGTTGCGTTCAAGGGTTTGTAGATTTGAAATGTTTAAGTGTGACATTAAAATACAGCTGATGATACGATGAATATCCAACACACTGAGAAGCTCAACTTCAGTTTAAGACTTGTGTCTATTTTCTCATCAAGTCAAATCATGTTTTCATTATCTCATTATTTGTTAACTTTCTCCTCCTTGAGCTGATGTTTTCTGTCTTATCTTTATTAAGAGCCTTTGCTCTGGATTATTTTTTAATTTGCAAAACAGGGATTCTCTCAGCAGTCTTATTTGCCGATTTTTGTTCATTTCAGAATGAAATAGTCAGCCATTGTATTTGTGCGCTTCAGACTTATACAGCGGTCAAATCAAAAATGTTTGTAAATCTGTCAGGAATTATAATTTCTTTTAGGTATCTTCCCCAAACGTCAGATTTTTTACTCAAGAAAAATACCTTTTTTTATATGTTACATGGAATTTTGCATGATATACTATATTATACTTATACTACAACTCTATATCAATACAAACAATCAAACAAGTACCATTACTGAATTATACATCAGTCTGGTGTACACTGTTAACAAAGACTGGTTGACTCTGCTACTTTTAATCCCACCACTGTTACTTTACATTGATTTTTTTTTGTCCCCAGACACTCCTGTATAGTTTTCCATATTCTTGTTTTAGTTTTACATACTTCCAAATATTTCTTTCTGTTGCTTTCTCTATATGTCTGTACTATCTGTCCTTGCTCTGCTGTAACAACTGAATTTCTCTGCTAGGTATCAATAAAGGTTTTTATTATTTATCTTATAGCTTTCTAACCACTACAGATTAGGATCACGTTCATTAGAAAGGCTCTGTAAGAATATTTAATAAAATGTTCATGGGGCTGTTACATAAAAACAGACACACAAGTTATATGTGTGGATTTACAAAAAGAGTCGCAATATCAGAAGTTACTGAACAACAAAACCAGAAAAAAAGTGACATCATCCATTGCTGTTTAATGTCTGTCTAGTTTTTTAAAAGTCAGGAACAAGTTTTAGGGACATTATATGAATACTGACGAATGTATGAATGGAAACATCCCAAAGGTTATTTTGATTAATAGCTTTTTATTATTCTTCTGTGCTGTACTGGTATCTTTAAAGGTTTAGTAACACAGACATTAGATTGTGCAAAAGATACTGTCTTCTGAACAATTCTGAATTAATTTTATTCACGAGACAAGACAAAAATCTGTAAAAAAAAAGAAAAAAAGTATCATGTTCTGCCTTCTCTTCAGTGTACCACAGAAGTTAATATTGACATAAACTGAGGTGATCAAACTGAGATCAATAATTAATAATCAGAACATGAAGCACATCCCTCACCTTTTGTTTTTCAGCTGAGCCAGGGTTTCTTTAACCAGCAAAAAAAAAGGGCGTGTCATTTTTTGTTTGTATTTGAATCATTATGATGAAACAAGTTGCCAATTCAAAGGTCTCTTTTTCAAACTACTTTAAAAAAGCATATATGTGGAGTCAGGAAAGGCAGCAATGTGGAATATTTGGGACTTTATTGAAAAGCAAAACAAATTCTCAAAAGAAATACATTAGCAGGGCAACTTAATCTAACATCCATCTTCTTCACCAACACAAGAAGTAATTTTCAGTATCACTGTTTAATTTCTATATGTCAACAATTCTTAGTATTGTATTGAGAGAAAACATCCCTTGTCCCCAAAAAGTAGTAGCAAATATTTTCAAGAACATTTTTCAGTGTGCTGAGAAGCTTAAAACACATCAAAAGATAGATATAATGAAACAAAAAAACAACACACTCCAGATTAATTAAGAACCTCACATTTGTTTCTGCTTAAGTGAAATTAAAACAAAATCTTTAAATCTTAGCACTTTTAAAGAAATATACAAACTATTTACACAACTGAAAAATAATTGTGGTATTGATGCTTATAATTTGTGTAAGTGTGTCCATAAGGGTGGACAACACTGATTAAATCTATTATTGTTTGTGTAATTTCATGTTGTGATATATATGATTCACCACAGTGATACAAAACTCCAACTATACATTTCCTATCTGGTTCATCCTGTTCAGAGTTGTGGGGGACTGAAGTCAATTCCAGTGTACAATGGGCGAGAGGTGGAGTATAGTTTATCAGCAGCAATAACACAGATAGATGATCTTTCACACTGACACCTAAGGGGAATTTAGAGTGTTTATGTAGCATGTTTCTACTGTTGCTGATCAATTTGCAGTATTGCCTTCAGTGATCTAATACAACCAGAGAGCCAAATAATGACTTGCTCAGTATAAATAGTAAAGAGAAATCTTAACTGGTTGAAAAATATCTTTTATCTCAAGGATTTTATCATCATATCACAAGACCCTACATGAGTACATATAATTTGTATACATTTGTATTAACAATATTGATTTAACCATGACCAGAAATCCCCAACAGCAGAAGCATCAAACTGTAACTGTTTCTTTTTTTTGAAGATGTATATGTATGTATGTATGTATGTATGTATGTATGTATGTATGAGTGCTGCGATTCTTTCATTGTTTTGAATATCGTGTTTTACTTCTTTCCAAAAATAATTGTCCTTGTTTGTTTTACCAATGTTTTAACAAATATTTGATTAGAAATGCCACGTTCTAAATTGAAACTATAACTTCTTTGTGTATTTTGAATGTGGTAGCAATACTGATTAATGCAGCTTTAAAGCCTCAATGCTCTGTGACTTTTTGACCATGTAAGTATGAATATTCTGCAAACCATTTTGGTGATGAGGTGGCACATTTGTTTGTATCTGGATAACAGATTGTGAAGAAACTGCAGACAATAAACTTCAGTGTTGCCAATGTCTTACGGAGTGGATTTCCCCCTCCCCTTCACACTGTCACTCAAATCTGTCAGGATAAAACATAGGCTTTCATAAATTAACTGTTTAAAAAGTAATGATTTCTAAAAAATTAATAAAAAAATGTGACGGCGAGAAACCACCGAAAATAAAATAAATGCTTTTAAGTTCTCAAAATGTGCATAAATATAGGTGATATTTCAGACCGACATAGCAAGTGTGCGGAACCATTAATTACCTTTGATTAATGGTGTGTTGCTGCTTAGACTTTCTGTAGAAGAGCCACTTGAAGAAGTCGTCTCTGACTCTGGAAAGAACAAAACACAAAATAATCAAAACAATAAACAAGTAAAGGACAACAATGTATAGATACATGTACATAACATCAGACAGACAGACAGACAGATCGACAAATAAAAATAAACCTGATTGGCTGATCAAAGTCCCTGTAGGAGAAGTGTCAAAGGAAGTCTTCATGTCTACAGAAACTGCTTAACTGCTCCGGGGAGACAGTCAGACACTGATAGTTTTGGGCCATGACTTTCTCTACACAAATGTTACATGTGTATAATGTCAATACCCATGAATCTCAACACAATACTTCATCTCAGCTAAGTATCAGTTAGGAAAATAATATTTTCAGGATTTTGGTCAAAAACATGAGCACTTACACAGCTGATGTGGTTATAAAATGTCTACCATATGGACTGAAGTACTCTGACTTTACAGAGTACATCTTTTGTGACAATGCCTTTTCCTTCCCAGTCTGTCAGACATTTGCAGACGAGAAGTGAACCCCGAGTCTGTGTGGTGGTATGAGAGAGTATGCACAAATACAGGTGATATTTCAGACCGACATAACCAGTGCAGAACCATTAGTTACCTTTGATTAATGGTGTGTCGCTGTTTCTACTTTCTGTAGAAGAGACACTTGAAGAAGAAATCTTTGACTCTAGAGAGAACAAAGCACAAAATAATCTAAACAGTAAAATGAATAAGATAGATACATGCACATTACATCAGACATCAAACTGCTCTGGGTTGACAGTCATAAACTGATGTTTTTTTTTCCAGTTTTTCAGTTTTTGGCCATTATTTCCTCTGCACAAATGTTTCGTGTCTATAATGTCAATACACATGTATCTCAACTCAATACTTCTTCTCCACTAAATACAGTTAGGAAGATAATATTTTCAGGGTCTTGGCCAAAGACATGAATACTTTAACAGCTGGTGTGGTTATGAAATGTTTGGCATATTGATTGAAGTGCTCTAACTTGACACAGTCCACTGCGTCAATGCCTTTTTCTCCATAGTCTGTACGCCCTTTGCAGACAAGAAATGAACCTTGAGTCTGTGTGGTGGTATGAGAGAGTTCTGCCTAAGCCCCTTAGAGCAGTGTTGGGCTTTGAGGCATGTAAGCATCTTTCACTGGACCAAATCTTGGCATGATATTATTTAACTCTAGGAAGTAATCACAATATATATTAGAGGGGACACCTCCCCAAATATCCAAACATACTTAAAATGTCCACCACAAAAACATTGCTATGCTGCGACAAGCAATCACACACTGCCATCCAAAATAATCCTTAGCAAAAGTAATCATAATCTCAAATAAATTTTAACAAATTACAATTATTATTATTACCACCAGTTATGATATTTCAGTGTACTGCAGTTATGCATGTGATTTGTGCAAGTGGTGTTCCTGTACAGCAGCAAAAGCTGTTGCTCGACTGCTGTGGGTAGGTACAATCAATGTCAAACACAAGTCTTGTTTCCTTTTTTTCAAATGTGTTAAAAAGTGGAAAATTAGAATGTTACATGAGTGTTTAAAAGGCCAGATCACTCTCAGCTTTTACAGTTTATAAAAATTGTTAGAATATCATGAAAAATGTCATTAAAAAAAGTAACCTGATTATTTTTCCTGTGTTGCCCTCAATTATACCCTGGCTCCCTAAAGTGGCACTCAGTCATCAAAACTTTGGATCCCTTGATCTAAGATTTTTTTTATTTTTATTTTTAAATGGTCTAAAATGATACATTTTGCTGTTAAGTTTCTAAATATTTATCCAGGGGAAAATTCCCCCCAAATCCCCTATGAGGCTGGAGTCACAGCCAGATCTCTCACAGAGATTGAACATGGTCCCCACCCAATGTTAAAGAGGTGATCTGACTTGTCTCAGATTAGAATAAAAGCAGTTACTGACAGTAGTAGCTGAAAACATAGGCTTACCTGAACGTGTGTTTGGCGTGGTTGCTTTAAATTTTGATTAGTTAGTTTAATTAATTTAGATTAACTAGTTAAATTTTTGCACTCGGTGTTTATAGATATGAGCATCTACTCAAAGTATAAACATGTAAATACAATTAAAAACAAGTTATACTTACTGTGTTGAGGGGACTTAGCTGAAATAAAATCAAAAGAGATGTCAGATGCCACAGTTGCAAATATATTTTCACCATTAACTCTAACGCCCTACCTACTTAAAAAGGTTAGAAATATCTTTTACAGTTCTGTTAACATCTTTATTTTAACACCATTAAGCTAGGGTCATATTATAATGACACAGTGGCTCTGAGTCTTACACTATTCACTGGTGGCTACTTCCAACTGTGATGTGCATTGAATTAACACTTTCAATTTTGAAAACTGGATTCGACTATCAACTTTTATCTCTTAACAACTTTGATGAATTTAGGCCGCTCATCATCTTTAGCACAGACTTTGTAACTATCAGAGAACTACTGTATGATCAGTGACTACGACTAAACAACAGAGGGTACTGTGGCTCTGCTGGTTGCTTCCCATTTGAGCAAATGAAGGATTAAATTTTGATCAACTTTAGCTCTCAGTGAGAGCATTTTTTTTTAATTCACTCAAAATCTAAAATGTAAAAAATAACCAAAACAAACAAACAAAAAAACAAATTGCACTAACAAGGTGGAGGGTCTTTGGATCTAAAGTTTGTTTCACTTTGCAATCTGGATATGCATTAATTCATAGACTAAAAAGTATCTGAATTGGAAAAGTCAAATTTGGAAATCCTTGATTCTCTCACCTTTCTTTCTTTTGTACACCACAAATCCAATGACAGCGATGAGTACAAGAGCAAGAACAACAACTGCAGCAATGATGGGAATGGTCATGTCACTGGGCTTTTCTGCTGAGCATAAAAAAACAAAAACAAAAAAAATCACAACCTGTAAAGATGAAGCTCAGTAAATGACTTTGGTCATTGCTTAAAAACTGTGTCTATAAAATATACTTATCTATTGTTTTATCATGTTTCATGACTGATAACTGAAGAAATAATGATTTGAACAACAAACAAAAAAACAACTTTAGCAAAATATGCCTTTTTCAAAATGACCAAAACGTATGCCCACTTGAGTTTAGCAAAGTGTAAACCAATAAATAATATGATTTTTTCAATGCTGCATTTCTGACCTTGTACTGTATAATTCAGAGGTTTACAAAGAGTCAAAAAGCAGCACACAGAAACCAGTGGGTCTCATGCAACCTTTTTGTAGTGTTATCCTAAATCTCTCTCTCACTTTGTTTTGAGAGGTTTGGGTGTACAAGTGTTCCAAGTCACATAACTCTCTTAACTGGAAAAAATCATTCATTTTAGCCTGACAAACACCTGTTAATGAGGAGGTTTGTGTTCATGAGATTTCATCAGTAATTAACACCTCAAAAAACACAATTTAAGGCAGCCTGTTCTGCTCTGCTTGTCAAAAAGTTTCATTTACAAAATGTTACCAAAGAGTGAAAGAAAGAATTCCATACTGAGGAGTGTCAATTTCTGGGGTTGGAAATCAGCAAACAAATGTCAGTATCATAGGATTAGAAGACTGCAAGAAGTTAGAAAATATTAATAATAAAGCTGTTAACAAAGTGTCATCAGATCAGCGTTGTACTGTGACAGAAATAGAGGAAATGATTTAATATGAGATGCTAAATAATGTCTAACAACTGAAAAGTATCAGTTGATGTGCCTTAGTATGCCATTAATATCATAAAATCTTCAAAAACAAAACAAAACCTGGAATTACCAACTGGCAGTTATATATCTATGTGGACCAGGCAAGTTGCAGTTGGAGTTTACATCCATGTCTGTTCAGACCCATATGCAGACGCAACAGTTGACAGCATTTCAAATATAGCTGTTTCTGCAAAGAAGCTACAAACTCTAAGACAAGGTTGCTTCACACGTTTCAACATGGGAGCACAGAGGATCTATACAATTAGCACAGATTAGTGTCACCGGTTCAGTATCTGAGTATCAGTATCTGAGTTATGGCGTTGAGTAACGTCCAGAAAAGTGTTTTTTGCGAGTGAAGTTGACCTTTGACCTTCTCGATATAAAATGTCATCACTTTAGACCTTTGTGTAAAATTTGTCATTATTAGTGTGTGAATCCTTTTGTGAGGTCACAGTGACCTTTGGCCTCCAAAATCTAATCAGTTCATTGTTGAATCCCAGTGAACGTTTGTGCCAAATTTCTGGAAGGTGATTTTAAGGTACTGTGTTCACAAGAATGACAGACCGACATACAACCTGAAAACATGATGCCTTTAGCCACAGCGTCACCTGCATGGAGGCATAAAAACTCTCTGTGAATTGGTAAGTCATGATAATAATATGGAATACAGTCAACTAATTTTTGCATGTATATGCAATATATTGTATATGATTCATACAACAGGTCTAGACCACTTGCGAATTTTATTCATATCTAAGAGAGAATCTAAATATGAGAAAATCAGTGAATGCCACAGATCTTAAATCACTTATACAAATCTGTTACTATGAGTGGTTCTTGCATGAGTCCCATTTTGTAGTGAAAAACTGAAATACTTTAAGAAAATTTAAGTAATTTTTTGGGTCATCAATCAGCTGAAACTACAAAAGCCCACAAGAACAAAGCTGTATTCAGCACAATATAATAATCGTAATTAACTACAGAGCAAATTACATTTGATAGAAGTCTTACCTCTGTTGGTCCTGATCACTGCTTTGTCCAGTTTGGTGATAATGTCCTCCTTCACACCAGAGAGCTGAAACACACAGTCGTACCTCCTCCAGTCTACAGGTGGGACTGATGAAAGGTCCAGGTCACTACTCATCTGGAAGGATCCATCATGGTTGGGGAGGATCTCTCCGTGGTCCACGTCCTCATGAAGCTCCTCTCCATCTTTCCTCCAGAACATCATGGTGCTGTTTGGGTAGAAACCTGTAGCGTGGCAGCTGACTGGAGAGGAGGGAGACTTCTGGAGGAGAGACACTGAGGGAAGGTCTGCAGAGTAAAGAGAGAGCGAGACAATTCACGTCTCTGTCATGGCTCCAGGGTCCTCTATAAATGTTTTAGATGCAGAGGTCTAAAGCTGTCTCTTCCTCAGCAGACACATTTTAAATATTGTCTAGAGTTGTTTTGGTGACATGTTTTGGATTTTATAACCATAGTGAATTTACATTTGCAGGTCATTTACTATAGATGTGGTAATACTGTGGATGTATTTTATTCAGTTTCATTACTGTATGCAGCACATCAACCTTTGTTTGGTATCTATTTTCCCTGGTTACTATCAGGAGTAAAATCACAGCATTCCTTCTGCTGCTATACAGAATACGAAGAAGTGAAATGTTAAGAAAAACAAACAAACATGAAAATCTAGTATTGCCACCGTAAAGACAAAGTGAGTGACAGAATAATTCAGTATTGTAATTCAGGACATTCTACCATTTCTCAGCAGAGAGTTCCTCCCATAGTCCACATACTTCTTCAGCCAGTCGGGACAAATCTGAGTGAGGTAAGACTTCAGATTTGCTATAAAAGCTTTGTCACTGTCCCACTTCTGTTTGGTGATGAAAGCCCAATGTTTCGGAGCGATCCATGTCTCTGTGTTAATGTCAAATGCTAAAAAGTCTTCTCCATCATAACCATCTTGAAAATAACCATTAACCTTTCCAGTCTCATCGTCCCACTCACAGCCACTCATCTGCTGGAAAATGTGGACACCTGAGAGAGAGAGAGAGAGAGAGAGAGAGAGAGAGAGAGAGAGAGAGAGAGAGAGAGAGAGAGGGACAGGGACAGAGAGAGAGAGAGAGAGACAGCTTAATAACAATAAAATTCTATGAAAACACTTTTTTGAGTTAAAAGTGAAATTTGTCAACAAACCTCCAGTTTGGTTGAAGCGTGGCTTTAAAATCTCAATGTTGGCTTTGAAGGTCTGCTGGGCACCCACAGCAATGTCAGTCTGTCTCTGCCAGTACTGAGGATCATCTGCTGTGACTCTGCTCATCCAGTCCTGTTTGGGTTCTGCTCTCCTGGTGTAACTGTCATAGTGGAACATCTGAACTTCATCAACCAACCCAACAGCCACAAACTCTGGGAAGTTTGGGACTTGAGAAGACGCAGTGTAGAAATACTTCAGAGTGTGAATCACTGTAAACAGTTGATAAAAAGGATGTCAGTTTTATTGAATGGAATCTTTGATCTTCTGATCTTCTTCTGATTTTCTGTTACAATAATATCAGTTCCCTGGGTACAAAAAGTACTCAATTAATTTTACAATATGTCTGACCTGTAATACAATGACGTTTTCTTAAATTCACAATCTGTAATTAATGTAACTTATCAACCAACAACCAAAATTTAAAACACAAGCATAAAACCTGTTATTAACCTGTTAATTGTTAGGTCTTTTCACAGACAGATTGCTTTTAAATACAGCAACAAAACAAGGCTTTATTTTCAACGGTGATGATAAAACAAACACATAGCTCTTTTACATATAAACATATTAAGTCAAAATAAAAATATCAAAATGATATATCTGAACCTGCAGGTCTAATGGCTAGAAATTACTGATTGCATATTTCATTAGGGCTATTACGTCTTTATATTCAAACATACACATTGAGTTCACACCCATGAGCCTACAGCCTACAGAGCAAGGGTTAAGCTGGTAAATTACATCCGTTATCGCCCCAACAAACTTGCCGATAGTTAGAGGACATAGGTTAAACAAATACATGATAATATACGAGTGCGAATTATTATAGCTTAATGATAATTATTAATGACTGTAGACATATCTCAGTTAAGCCGACTCTCAATAAATTCTCCCGGAAACATAAGACCTCTGTAAGCTACAACAACCAAAAAAGTCTGATGGCGTTTAGTTCCGCTTCAACTCGACACCAGCCGACGCAGTGTCTTAAAAGTACGGTTATAACTACAGACGTTTTTGGTGTCGGTAAAACTTACTTGCAGACGCAGCGTGGCAGAGAAGCAGCAATAAAATGATCCTCCTCATTTTTATCACATAACAAACCTAAAAAACACTTAAATGTTGGTTTACTGACACAAACTTAGACCAGTCTATCTCTTCGAGCAACGGGGCTGAAGTGTGGGTAACAAGAAGGAAGGACCTAATAAAAAAATTCAACCTCCATCTGAGCCAATGGGAATTTAGGCTGAGCATCACTTGTTACTTGGTGAAACTTTGTGAAATAGGTCATGAATGAAAGTGAAAGTAAAGCGATGTTATTTCAGCCTGTGAAAAAAGGATGGGGAGACATCAGACATGCGGGGCTTTATCCTGTTTTCTCCACTTTGTTCACATATGAGAGGAGTATTAACCCTTCTGCTGCTCACATCTTGTATAATGACGTGTGGGCTGATGTGATGTAATGTGTAGACATGTATTAAATCCTCTGGGAGGTCAGAGGTTACTGTCAGCTACAGATACTCTGCAGTTTGTGGGGATGCAGTAGTGTCTTATTGTTCTTTTGTTTTGTGTGGCTGTCCTGCTGGCATTTAAAACAATCCTGATCAAAAATGTCGACGACAAACAAGATTTCACTGATGTTAGAGTGAGTAAATGTGGTGAGGTGCTCCCTCCAGTGGTTCTAACCTGCAGCTGATGTGCAGCAGTACAGTTTCTCAGTGTGGACTGTTATTATCTGTTATTTTAAACAGATCAGTGTGCAATCAAATATCAAAATATTGAATAAGATGGAGGGGAACATCTTATATCCCTTCTGAAGTCCTATCCAATAAGGTGTTTATGTATGTTAGGATGATAAGGTATTTTAAGTTAAGATAAGATACACCTTTATTGATCCCACAATTGAGAAATTCCAGTGTTACAGCAGTCAAGGGGAAAGAGTCAGATAAAAGATTTCAAAATTTAAACTTAAAAACTTAAAAACTAGGCATGCAAATAAAGTACAAAAAATACAAGAAACTGCGATAAATAACAATAATAACTATAGCTGCTGCGCAGTGATGGGTCGGGTCTGGGCGTTTTTAGGCAATTCTGAGCAACAAGCAGAAGAATTGGAAGACATTTAGCAACACAACCTGCCTTTTGCATCAGCTGAGACTTGAACTCACAATTTCTGAGACTAAGAATCAATAGCTATCTCACTGAGCTAATTAGTCAGTGACAATTCATGTGTAGTTTCACAAATTGACTAAGCCAGACGTGCAGGTTTAGCAGCCGTCAATGCATGGAAAAGCAGATTTCAAACCACTGTAAAAAATTCAGTTATCGAAACAAAAATCTGAAAATACACATATTGCATCTAGACAGCATGGAGATGTTGGTAATTTATTTTAACAATGATTGATTTGCTCCATAAGTGAAAAACTGAACTGATGTTTAAAATTGCCATTGTTACATTGACTCCAATTGTTCACATTAGAGCAAAATTCAAAATGCTGTCAAAAATTCAGTTTTTGAGATACAATTCTGAAATTTGGCACACATTTCAGAATTGAGGACCTGGGCTGGACTGTGAACACCACCCACATCATCTTTTTTTGAGAAAGCTGAAGAGGAACAATCTCCCTCCGCCCCTGCTGAGGAACTTCTACCGCTGCACAATAGAGAGTGTCCTGACATATGGATGCACTGTGTGGTACGCCAGCTGCACCACAGCAGAGAAGAAACAGCTGCAGTGGGTCATCAAGACGGCTCAGTGGATCGTTGGCTCCCCACTCCCACGCCTGGACGAGATATGCTCGAGCCGTCTCCTGAGACGGGCCACAAAGATCAGAAATGACACCACCCACCCAGGACACTCCCTGTTCACCACCCTCCCCTCTGGCAGACTCAGAGTCATGCGGGCCCACACAAACAGACTCCAACACAGCTTTTTCTCCATGGCTGTGAAGAGATTGCTACCATGACTCTAGAATTTTTTCTTTTTTTTCATGAATATTGAAGATTTATTTAGCAAGAATTTGCATGGGGTAGACTGAGTATAGTTGAGACGTGTACAGTTGAAACACCCTAAATATCTTGCCTGCGCTGCANGTAATAGTCCATTCTGATGGATATTTCCTACCTGACAGAATGAGCTACCATATTTTTAATTACATTTATAGAGGTAATAGTCCATTCTGATAGATATTTCCTACCTGACAATGAGCTACTCTACTCATAACCACATTATTAGAGGTAATAATCCATTCTGATAGATATTCCCTACCTGACAGAATGAGCTACTCTACTTACGACCACATTTATAGAGGTAATAGTCCATTCTGATGGATATTCCCTACCTGACAGAATGAGCTACTATATTTTTAATTACATTTATAGAAGTAATAGTCCATTCTGATAGATATTTCCTACCTGACAGAATGAGCTACCATATTTTTAATTACATTTATAGAGGTAATAGTCCATTCTGATAGATATTCCCTACCTGACAGAATGAGCTACTCTACTTACGACCACATTTATAGAGGTAATAGTCCATTCTGATAGATATTCCCTACCTGACAGAATGAGCTACTCTACTTATAACCACATTTATAGAGGTAATAGTCCATTCTGATAGATATTCCCTACCTGACAGAATGAGCTACTCTACTTACAACCACATTTATAGAGGTAATAGTCCATTCTGATGGATATTTCCTACCTGACAGAATGAGCTACCATATTTTTAATTACATTTATAAAGGTAATAGTCCATTCTGAAGGATATTTCCTACCTGACAGAATGAGCTACCATATTTTTAATTACATTTATAGACGTAATAGTCCATTCTGATAGATATTTCCTACCTGACAGAATGAGCTACTCTACTTATAACCACATTTATAGAGGTAATAGTCCATTCTGATGGATATTTCCTACCTGACAGAATGAGCTACCATATTTTTAATTACATTTATAAAGGTAGTAGTCCATTCTGATAGATATTTCCTACCTGACAGAATGAGCTACTCTACTCATAATTACATTTATATAGGCTGTATGTCTGCTTCTTACACATATCTGACCTGAGTAGCTACTAAACAATGTTTTTGCCAGGGTAGGTCATTACGAGTGAGAGGCTTAGTTCATCAGACTAGTCTGACAGGATGAGCTACCAGTAGCTCATCCTGAGTGGGTAGCAAACTTTCAGAACACCAGCTCACATGGGCTTCTCAGAGGAGTCAGAAATTAATCAAGCATAACATTCAACCACTAAAACTAATTTTTCTGTTTAGGAATGCAAGTAAATAACTAATTTGAAATCTTAATCAAGAAATAATTATGTGTTTTACAATTTTCTTTCAATTTTTTTGTAAAACAGTAAATTTGAAAATTCATGGATAACAATAATAATTATATTTTAGCATTAAAAATATCATTTCTGTTAAAGAGCTTCTACATACTGGTGTATTAACCATTACAGAAACATAAAAAAGGTAATGGTATGTTAAAGGTAACATAAATTGGTAAATACCAATGTTAATTTAGGACCGCTGTGGCATAAACCTTCACTTTTCTCATAATTTATTTGAAATACTCACAAATAAAGTGGTGTAATTTATGCAAATACCCTTTTAATAAGGGCCATTACTGTTTTAATACATTCAAACAGTACGCATATTGACAAGTAGGGTGACATCCATGAGCCTACCTGGGTTGCCCTATTGCCACAACTGACGGTGGTGATGGTTAGAGGACATCAGATTAAACAACATATATTTGTAACAAAAAAAACCACACAAGTAGGGCCTACAATGTATAATTACTTGAAGTAGGCTAATAAATTAATGTAGGCCTATATCAATAATTCTATATAAATTCGTCCGGAAACATAAGACGTATGTAGCCTACAACAACCCAAAGAGACTGCTGGTGTAGGTATAGTTCCGCTTCAACTCGACATCAGCCGACACAGTATCTTAAAAGTACGGTTATAACTACAGACGTTTTTAGTGTCGGTAAAACTTACTTGCAGACGCAGCGTGGCAGAGAAGCAGCAGTAAAATGATCCTCCTCATTTTGATTAAGTACACGAAGAACCACAAAGATGCTCAAAATGTCAATTGAAAATCGAACTCCGCCACGATCTCCTTCGTGTTCCTTCCAACCCGCTTCGCTTGCTGGGACAGTGAACAGAAAATTTGGCATTGGTTGAGCGTCCTAATCGTCATGAGTCACCAGGGGAAGTTGAAGAACAGAGGCTGTTGGAAAGACAGGAAACAAAGCGCACTCGAGGTTTTCGCTCACATACCGTATAGTACCACAGTGCATCATCACTATTCTTATTCTTATTAATCAAATTATGGTAGGTTTTTTAAAGACATTGTATAATTTTGACAAAACAATACGTTTTCTTGACATTATTTAACTTCACCTTAGACATGCTTGTACATTACAGAACTCCTTTATGTATCATTTTGACTTCCCTGACCATAAAACATTGTAGCAATCCAGACAGTTACACAAGACAAAGTTGCACATGGGTTTCATGTTGCAACTTGTTTTGAATATTCTTACAGAACAACACGCCTGCAAGCATGCAAGGGACACGCCCCCCTCGTCACATAAAGGAAGCATTGGACTTTTGTTTTTTACAATTTACATTTACACCGTGAATTAATGCAAAAAAGGCACAAATTGGAGCATTAAAATTCCCCAGTATGCGGGAAAATAAGATTATGATGTTCAAAATTTTCTGGCAAACTTTTCTCTCATCTTTGCTCCTGTGTGAAATATTGGATACTTTTATCTTTTGGATACTTAAATTGTTATTTAAACTAGATCATCTGTGATGAGGAGCTGCTATCAATTCATGGACATTTTAAACATGACAAAGGGCCACAACTAGACACTACTGTTTTGTGAGGGGTCACAAACCAATAGGTTGTGAACCACTGGTTTAATCTTTAACAGTGTGTTGTTTTATAGCTTCGTTATATGCTTTCCATGTAAATTACAAACCTGAAAAATAATCAAAGCTGTCAAATGAATTTTGTTTATTCCTGTCAGGAAAACTAAATGAAATCAACATTTTTTTTAAGTTGGGTTGTTATTATTATTATTAAAGATATAAACTTTGACAAAAAAAATCACAGGATAATGGCACAGTGGGTGAAGACCTGAACATACATTCACAGAGCCTCTACTCTTTGCTAAAAACCCTCTACCTGCATTAGAAAAGTATGCAGTTAAAACAACCACAGCAGCCAAGCATCATGGGGAAGAAAACACTGAATTGGTTAAAAAGTAAAGCCTATTAAGTATGTATTATTGTTTAACACAAACGTCCTGCCATTATTGTGTTCACTATTTGGGTTACTTGTATAGTTACAGCAAAGTAAATACAGCAAAGCTCTGCTAGACATAATGCTGTGTGGTTCTGTAAAGTTCCTAAGGTAAGATAAACACAGTCTGACATTCACATGATACATGCGGGTTGTCACTGTGCCACACCCTTGACTCTGAGAATACCTGTGTGCTGCCATTTTGTGTTTTCCTTTGTTGTTTTGAAATGGCAGATGCACCAACACTCTGTCGCCCTGACCTGGCAGTCACTGCAGGGCAAACTGGGCATCAATATTTTTAACACACAGACCTCATTATTTTACCCAAATGTAAATGTAAAGTAGATACAAGAATATAACAAGATGTAAGTTATGGTTTGAGGCGATTCATTGTTTCATTTACACAGAACTGAAACACTTTAGATGACAACACGGTTTAATTATCTGGAACAGGCATAAACAGTGAGTCACACCAATCCCACCCAGAATGCAACTTGTTTATTAACTCCTTTGTTTTGTCTCGCTGTTGAACCCTGCTGTTTCTATTTCTAGCATAAGGTATTGTTGTCAGTTTCCCTCTCAGGACTCAGTGACAGAGTTAGAGCACCACCACTGGCCAGAAACAGCACATTCCCCTGTGCCATTTCTGAGAAATCACATGGTGAGCCTGTTAGGTTTCGTTTTTGTGTTTTGGTGTGACACAGTGATCTGGCATGATTTGCACATTTGGGTGCACAGCAGGAACAAAGATCAGGCCATGGTTGTTATCTTGTCTGTCTTACTTGTTTTGCCACATTCCTCTGGGGTCAAAGAAAATGCTCAGAAAAATAACCAAACATGAGCATCTGTAAAACATCAGTGATTAAAAGCCACAAATAAAGTGTGTGCATTTGGCTTTGAATCTACATGAAACTGCGACATATTTAGCAGGATAACACATTTGGGGAGTACACTGAATGGAAATTAGTTATCATCAAACAAAATATGCATGTTAAAAGCACATAAAGACATGCTACCCAAATATTGCTCTCTGGATATGAGGGTCATGAACATGAACTATGTTCTTTTCAGCTGAAAACAATGACAGCATGAGTGTCTGTGGAGAAATAACTTTTTGGATGGAGTGATAGTTGCTCATCTTGTTGAGCACTAGATTATAAAAAGGCTGTAGGTGTAGGAGTATACTGGTCTGTTTACTTTTTCACTTGTCCTCATATGACCTCTGTTCCCACAAACCACATTCTACTCCTGAAGGGTTGCAGCCTCACATGTTCACTTGTTTCTCACTAATCTCCCTTTTCTGAATTAAAGGATTCAAGATGCTCACATACCAGTTGTGCACATGCTCTAAACAACGGCAGTTATGGTAAATCTCAGATGCAGGATATGCTTTGCAGATTAATAGATCAAGGAATGACACATAAAGGTTGGGAACACGTCCAGAGCAAGTCTTGGTGGATTATTGTGTGGCAGAGGGCGCCATCTACCTGTAGAGCTGGAGAACTTCTCAATGCACAGTTAGAACTATTTCAAGCAGTCTTTGCTTTCAAGATCTGGCGAAAGGGTTTGTGTCTGAGTATCCAGTCGGTTTTATTTTCAGATGTGAGTTTACCTATAAGGTCGCTCAACGTTGATTACAATGGCTTTACTTTGAAATTATGACCGGAATTTGTTTTGTTTTTTCTGGTTGACTTGACGGACTCGTTGTACGTGAAAGTGAAACTAAAATGTACCCGGAGTTGAAGGGGAAACCCACAATTCAAACAAGACTGTTCGTACCATAGCAGCAAAGAGTACCTGACAATAACGTGAAGACAACAATCATGACAGACTTCTCTACAATCTACAAACTGTCCCTGGTTGCTGTTTTCTGCTTCATTAAAGGTAAGGTTACTAAGGCTATCTGTCGATTTATTTAGCATATGTCGATATGTTTTGCTCTGCTGCTAAACCAAACAGATGGAACATACTACTTTTATGCATGTGCAGTGGACCTGTGGCCCGGATGCGTGTGTATTGAAGTAACTCAAACTCCGTGAAACAAAAGGACATAGCTAATGTTAATGTGCATATTGTTGATTGCAGATGAAGATGTTTTGTAAATAACATTACTCAGGAGTCATTAACAGGAAAATCCAACAGCTATCTACTAATATAAATTCAGAATACAGGATCACGTTGTGCAAAGTGAGTCCAATTCAATATTTCAGGCTATTAAATATTGTTGATATGTGATTATTTGTGAAATATGTATGCCGAATTTGACACAAGATCCAGTCATGCAATATACTGTCTAAAGGTATTTCCTATACCCCGTATACATTTAGCTTTGACTAGATTAAGTTAAATTATGATGTATTTCTAAAGGGAGTTTGGCGTGAAGCGTCAGTGAAGTAGCGCGCCCCTGTGGCCGAAACTGTACCCAGCATCTAGTGGAAACCACTCTAAAATCTAAATACGTGTATGAACATAATAATAAAGAGAGAGAAAAGAAAAGGGAAAAGGAGCTCAGACTTTCTTGAGAATACTGCTCATTTTGTCAGAATTTTGGTTTAAAGTCCAAACAATGACATGAAAAAGCAGGAGAATAAAAATGAAAGTAAGACTCTGCAACACTCAAGTCAACCACAACGTATTTGCTCCCTGGAGAGGATCACAGTTTTACTTTTATTTCTGTCTGTCAGGGTTTAACTCTTGCAAGGCCTCATAATGCCTTCTATATTTCATATTTCTTATGACGTTAACTGCTGCAGCTAATGGTGGATTACTTACTGGAGACACTAAATGATGATTCATTGGTAAATATTAGGGGAAGGTTTAAGTGTGGCCATGGAAGAATACAAAATGCCATGGACTGTAATATCAGAAAATAGTGAATGATTTTGTTCTTGTTCACAGTGTTTTTTCCATATTCATTGTTCATTTCTTGTTAAATCTATTCTCAAAAGCCTGCAGCAGCAGCTGTCCAGTGCTGGACTGCTGGTTCGTGCAGGAGAAAGCCGGTCGAGGAGGAGGTTTAACTGCAGCTACAAGCCAGGAAAAATCCCTGCTTCACGTCAGAACAGATGCACACAGCCACACTGCAGAGTCCCAACCGGCTCCATCCGACATCAACCCCGACAGAGTCTACTTTGTTACAGGTTAGTTCAAAAATACACACTGAACAGAATGTGTAACCGCACATTCATCTAGATGTGTGTTTGAGATTGGGTGTGCATTGTGCTTCTTGTATGTACGAGGTATATGTTTCATATGTGTGGGTCCTTGCTGTCTGCTGTTCCTTGTGTGTAGATACAGTGAGTGTTGCAAATGTGACATTTTAGAGTCAGCAGTCTCAAGTTTAAGGTGAACTATAAGCCTCCAGAGATATGTGCTGCTGATCTATAAAATCATTATTATACCTGAGCATGATTGCACTTTTTCAGTGTGTCTATCTGAGTTGAATGTGTCGACACCTGGTTGAGCCCCAGTATGTCTTCTGGGGCTGACCCCAGAACGAGGACACTCTTAAATTAGTTACTGAAACATTGGTGAATGTTGTTTATTCAGTTTGCCTACTGTAAATGACGTAATCTACACTTCACTAACTCTAACTTTCTTTAAATTCTTTAAACTGTCAGAGTAAAGGTCAGTTTAGTTGGTAGAGACTTCTGTGAGGAGAAAACTGAGAGCAATGAACACAGACTTTACACAGATGCAGCAAGCATGTGTTTTCTAGCTTCAAAACCACACTTTCTTTTACTTAAAGGTCCAGTGTGTAAGATATAGTGGGACTTAGTGGCATCTAACAGTGAGGACTGTAGTTTGCAACCAGCTGAAACTTCAGTGTCCTTTGTTCAGGACATTCTAACCGTGAGCCGAATTATTCGTAGAGGTTTCTTCCTCTGCAAAACAAAAGGACCAGTTGATATAAACCAGGAAAACAGACTGAATAAAGCAGTTTCATGTTAAAAAAAAATCTGTTTTTCAAATGCAAACATACATATTATACTATATTCCATTTCTGCCAAAATATCCCCCTAAATCCTAAATAGCAATTCAGATGTCTAGCTCCAGACGATGTATTCTCTGCATCCTTTTACTGATTCAACACTGATATAGTAATTTACTAAAATATCTCTGTTAAAGGTTTCTTTGTTTAATTTTACATTAAATATGGGTTCAGTGTTGCTTAATTTCTTCATTTATGTTTTTCCAGACTTAAACTTGATTCATTCAGCCAGGGATCCATAACTGATTAGTTTTTATCCGACCATTCTTACCATTCTCTTGGTCAAATTCCATTTCTTTTACATAAAAGCAAAGCAAGCGTCTTTGATTTACTAAACCATAACAATGTACACATGACAGTCTTGCGACTCCTCTTTCCTCAGACCCAGCTGCCACTCTTTGCCACCGCTGTCTGAACCCTCCCAGAGGCTCTGTTAAGAAGCCCCAGTGTGAGATCAACCCCTTCCTGCCGCAGCCGTCCACCCTCAAATGGGTTGCTCCTCTCACAGCCTCCGCCTTAAGCCCCATGTATTTGCAAGCTGTTTGGTTTTCAACCGCCGTTCAGGGCCTGAACAAAGAGCTGTCCGTTTCCTCTATCATGCGTGCTCCCACAGCAACCAAAGAGCACAATGGTAATGATTTTTGACTCAGAAGACCAATGATGATTGTTGTGAGGGATCATCCACAACATAGCTGCTACCATTTAGAGATATCTATAATTAAGATCTCTTGTCCTGTCTGTCTGTCTCCTCAGTGATCCTCAGTGTTACCAGTAAAACAGTCTCAGTGCAGTCCAGACTGGGGGAACCAGTGCTGCTGGACTGTGGGTTCTGGGCCAACCCCTCCTCGCCTCTCTCCGGGTTGGGTTTTGCTGTAGAGTGGCGCTACCAGTTCAGAGGTGATGGCCGATTGGTTCTGGCCTACGATGGCAAAGCGGACCGCTTGGCTGATACGCAAGAGGAAGGGGCCACACTGGACTTTGAGAGTTTGCATGAGAAAGGAAACGCGTCCTTGATCCTGCAGGAGGCTAAAGTTCGTCACTCTGGGATGTATATTTGTACAGTTTATCTGCCCTACCTTGTGGCTCAGGTGGCGGTGGAGCTTGAGATTGTAGGTGAGAGAAAAGGTTGTTTAAAATCAAACGGCATGCTTGTATTTGGATTATTTTCTTAGCCTTTTCTTATTTTCTCTGCTTAAAAGGAGAACATCCTCTCTTTGTAGCATTACTCAAGTGGAGATGACAGAGGCCATATGCTCAAGTGCACCATTAATCAGTCTCTGTCCATGCTGGCATTCACACACTGTCACATATAACCTGTTACTGCTTAGTGTCTGCTGTAAAACAGCACTGAAATAAACAAATTCTGTATCAGAGCATATTGTAAGCTCCTAAATAACCCAGATTTCATTGAGTATCAGATAATTATTGTTATTAACTTTCTCAGTTCTCTTTTTTGTTTGCCTCCACTCTTTTCTCCCTCTACCAAGAACCTCCATCTCTCTCCATCCACCCGTCCCCTCTGCCCCTCGCTGTTCCCGGCCAGACTTTGACAGTCCAGTGTGAGGCGTCTGGCTTTGCCCCCCTCTCCCTGGAACTGAGCTGGGAGTTTAAAGGCGCTGATGGGAAGTCCAGGCCTCTGGGATCAGGCAGTGTAACGGGCCACAAGCAGGCCTGGGATGGAACTTATAGCCAGAGTTCCCGGCTGGAGCTCGACACAACTAAGCTGGACCTGGGCAGAGGAGGGGAGGTCACCTGTGTGGCTGTCCATCTCGGAGGCACACGACGGGCCAGCACGACTGTCAACATCGTTGGTAATGTGAAAGAATTCTTTTGTTTAGGACATTTATCAAGCTCTTTTGTCAACAATGTGTTTAATTTTTTTGTTTCATAACAATTTTAATTATTATTTTCTAGGCATTTTTTGCTTTATATAGATAGTGACAGAGAGAGACAGGAAAGGCAGGGGAGACAGGGGATGACATGCAGCAAAGGGCTCTGTGGTAAGGACTCAGACAGGTTCAGTGTGTAGGATTTAGGGGGATATATTGGCAGAAATGGAATACAATATAATAAGTATCTTTTCTTTAGTTTATAATCACCTGAAAATAAGAAGAGTTGTGTTGTGTTACCTTTGCATTAGCTAATTAGGGCTATTAATGTTTTAGCGTCAGCCACCATCGTTAGCAGCTCCTCTGTGACTAGAGTTGTTAAAAAATCAGTATTTTCCTGTTACATTTTTTTGTTGGGTGTTTTTAGCATTTTAAACTACTGGGTTTGTTTGTTTTGGAGAGGAAGAGACCTCCTGAATGCCTGGATCTTAAGTTATCAGAGAAAAAAGGTGAGCATAGATAAGCAGATGGTGGGTTAGCAGCCCGTCTGCGATGTGCCGAACAGTGTAGGAGAAACACTGATGTGTAACAGTAAGCTGCTTTATTCACCGGGTTCATCTGTGTCGGAGAGGAGGAGACCTCTGTGGATAATTTGGCTCACAGTAAAAACCTTATCATTGTCAAGGTATTAATGGGTGAAGTAGCAAGAGAAGTTTCAGTTTCAGTTTATTTAGGGTGCAAAATCACCATGGTAGAAACATGGTCTCAATACACTTTACAGAATCAATTACAATAAAAATGATCAAGGGAAAGAGTAGACAGCCAAATAAGCAAAAAGACACAAAAAGACAAAGGAAAAACAGACAAGGATATAACAATTAGAAAACTCAAATTTCTCCAAAACATTGGGTAAAAAGGTGTGTTTTAAGAAGTGTTTTAAAAATTGCAATGGAAGTGGATTCTTTAATATGTAGCGGGAGGCGATTCCATTACCATTATATCAGTTATATCATGGTAGAACTAGTAGTGTGATATGAGACCAGACATTGTTTGGGATTTTGGTTGTCATGATGCACTGAAGCCTAAATGCTGCATTTTAATGGTTTTAAAAGATGCATTACAGTTACCTGATGCCATTTTCTATTTCAACAGAGTTCAGTGAACAGTGAATGTCTCTAAGTGCTTGCATATCCAATTAAGTTAACTTAATAAGCTTTGAGGGACTGGATTATGGTCACTTTTTCTATGGGGCAGTGAAAAAAAAACTCAGATCAGATTTATATGGAGACATGATTATTTTTTAATTTTTCAAATTCTGTCTTGTCAGGATTCAGCACTCCCTCCATTGAGGACTCAATGGCAATGGTCGGTGTAGCGCTAGTGCTCTACGGTCTAATCAAATTTGTCTCTTGGACCTTTACTAGCTCAGGTAAGAAATAATCCAGAAAAAAATTGCCTTGTATACTGAGAGTATTAATAATGATTTATAAAGTTAAGTTGTTTGCACTCTTTTAATTTAAAACTGCAAGAGGAACTGATACTATCTCACAACTGGATATACTAATATTAAAAACCTACTATAAATTGAACTAAGTAAAAGATGTGTGGGATGAATACTGTGCCTTGATCACTTAAACAATTTAAATAAGATATAATGTGATATTTCAATGTTATTTTCATTTCTGTGTATGTCTTTTTGTCTTTTATTTCACCGTATGAAGGCTCAGATGAGGCTGGTCAACAAGACAAGGTAATGTTACATTCTTAAATACTAGCACACACCATTTATAATTCTGAATTAATTTACATAATAGTATTACTTGTCTACTTACAGTACAGGCCAAAAGTTTGGACACACCTTCTCATTCAATGCGTTTTCTTTATTTTCATGACTATTTACATTGTAGATTCTCACTGAAGGCATCAAAACTATGAATGAACACATGTGGAGTTATGTACTTAACAAAAAAAGGTGAAATAACTGAAAACATGTTTTATATTCTAGTTTCTTCAAAATAGCCACCCTTTGCTCTGATTACTGCTTTGCACACTCTTGGCATTCTCTCCATGAGCTTCAAGAGGTAGTCACCTGAAATGGTTTCCACTTCACAGGTGTGCCTTATCAGGGTTAATTAGTGGAATTTCTTGCTTTATCAATGGGGTTGGGACCATCAGTTGTGTTGTGCAGAAGTCAGGTTAATACACAGCCGACAGCCCTATTGGACAACTGTTAAAATTCATATTATGGCAAGAACCAATCAGCTAACTAAAGAAAAACGAGTGGCCATCATTACTTTAAGAAATGAAGGTCAGTCAGTCCGGAAAATTGCAAAAACTTTAAATGTGTCCCCAAGTGGAGTCGCAAAAACCATCAAGCGCTACAACGAAACTGGCACACATGAGGACCGACCCAGGAAAGGAAGACCAAGAGTCACCTCTGCTTCTGAGGATAAGTTCATCCGAGTCACCAGCCTCAGAAATGGCAAGTTAACAGCAGCTCAGATCAGAGACCAGATGAATGCCACACAGAGTTCTAGCAGCAGACCCATCTCTAGAACAACTGTTAAGAGGAGACTGCGCCAATCAGGCCTTCATGGTCAAATAGCTGCTAGGAAACCACTGCTAAGGAGAGGCAACAAGCAGAAGAGATTTGTTTGGGCCAAGAAACACAAGGAATGGACATTAATCCAGTGAAAATCTGTGCTTTGGTCTGATGAGTCCAAATTTGAGATCTTTGGTTCCAACCGCCGTGTCTTTGTGAGACGCAGAAAAGGTGAACGGATGGATTCCACATGCCTGGTTCCCACTGTGAAGCATGGAGGAGGAGGTGTGATGGTGTGGGGGTGTTTTGCTGGTGACACTGTTGGGGATTTATTCAAAATTGAAGGCACACTGAACCAGCATGGCTACCACAGCATCCTGCAGCGACATGCCATCCCATCCGGTTTGCGTTTAGTTGGATGATCATTTATTTTTCAACAGGACAATGACCCCAAACACACCTCCAGGCTGTGTAAGGGCTATTTGACCAAGAAGGAGAGTGATGGAGTGCTGCGGCAGATGACCTGGCCTCCACAGTCACCGGACCTGAACCCAATCCAGATGGTTTGGGGTGAGCTGGACCACAGAGTGAAGGCAAAGGGGCCAACAAGTGCTAAACACCTCTGGGAACTCCTTCAAGACTGTTGGAAAAGCATTTCAGGTGACTACCTCTTGAAGCTCATGGAGAGAATGCCAAGAATGTGCAAAGCAGTAATCAGAGCAAAGGGTGGCTATTTTGAAGAAACTAGAATATAAAACATGTTTTCAGTTATTTCACCTTTTTTTGTTAAGTACATAACTCCACATGTGTTCATTCATAGTTTTGATGCCTTCAGTGAGAATCTACAATGTAAATAGTCATGAAAATAAAGAAAACGCATTGAATGAGAAGGTGTGTCCAAACTTTTGGCCTGTACTGTATGTTTTATAACCCTGGAGATGCTCCTGGGGTGTCAATAATAACCTTTTACGTCTTCCACTTACAGAAAGACAAGTAAAGAAGAATGAAGTCAACTGCTGTGAAAGTGTGATACTGAATCAACAAACCTGATTGTTTTGATATCTCGGCTAGGGTTTCAGGGGTGACTATCCTCGTGTTTAAGCAGACAGTTATGTCATTTGTTTTTTGAAGCTTGCATGGTGATAAATCTGTGTAAACTTTGCCTTTTAGAGTTGTTTTTTCCCTACAGATCCAGAGAAGCTTGCTTGCCAGTTGTTTTGTTCACTATTTTGCTCAAATAGTAATAATACTTTGGGATAAACTTACTGTTCTGCTAAGATTTCAGTGAGAATTTTACTGAACAGGGCCTCTGTCTAAACATGTTGTAATATTTCTTTAAACGTCCTTTTGAGGGCAATTTAGCTGTTATATCATATTGGCCTCCCACTTTTTACATAATGTATCTTGTCATGAACACTGGAAAAGGGCCAGAAATGTTCAGGAATTTTGAAACGATAATGTGATTAAACGTCAACTTCAATTTGGTGATGATAATGCTTCCATATGATGCACATAGATAAAATTTTTTTGGCTATGTTTATACGCCGAAAAACAGTTGTATTTGAGGGATTAGAGACGAGCCTCTGTGTGTGTGTGTGTGTGTGTGTGTGTGAGTGTTTGAGAAAGAAATAGAACCTAAAACATCTTTTGTAAATGATCAGGACAGTAAAATCAATATTAGAGGAAACTATCTAGACCCACAAATACCTATTATTGTAAATATGAGAATATGATGTGTGTATATTCTGACTTTTTTTGTTTTGTTAAACCTGTATGTGCATTTGTGCATTATAGTAATGATAATCTTTATTGTCCCTGAATGTAAAAATTGGCCTTCAGCTTCACAGGATGGTTAAAACACATCATAGTTAATCACAATATATATGATAGATAATACAACAAGCACAGTACAGACAACAATAGTGAACATGGTCCTCGTGTGAATGGTGTTTACCTTTTTAGTGAAGTTACTGCATTTGGTATGAAAGACTTTTTTGTAAATGTTTTGATTGTTGCAGCGTCTCTATAGTGTTTCTGAGGGCAGTTTTATGAATTCTTATAAAGAGGATGAACAGGATCGAACACAATTTGTCAGACTTTTGTTTCACTTGTGTTTTCTCGTAGTGCTCTGATCACATGTTGGTAGGAATGATACTCCAACAGCCTGGGCTAATGAAAAATTAAACCTACATAGAAATGTGAAGGAAATGGTACAAAGTTCTGCAGAAGGGAAAATTCAAAATTTGTGTCAGAATTAAGAAATCGTAATTAAAGTCTGCATTTGAAGTGAAATAAATACAATTTCTTAAAACATGCTGGTTCCAGTTTCCTGTTTATATGATTGTCAAAACCTGCTTGGAAGGCTTGGAAGTATTTCTGCATAGTGGCTGTACTTCCATAGCTGTTAGTCAAACGCAAGGTAGCATTAATGTGAATAACTGCAACTTCCGGTTTCTTTTTCAGAATAAGACTACATGGCGAACGTTTTTTTTTTTTTTTGGAGTAATACCCAACTAAGACTAAGTGTTGGAAGAAACAGACAATATACAAAGTAATGAAGTAATAGATGAAACAGCTGCTTAATCCCAACCTCTCGCCAGATAGTTATTTATGTCTTTATTATTAAATGATTATTAAGTAATTAATAAATGCACATGAACTAACGTTATAAAAAAAGCTTACAGGGTATGCAGATAAAAACAAATGTTATATTTTTAATATAGAAATAAAAATATTTATATGTATTTGATTTTATGAGATTAACTGAAAACGCAAAACGGCTCTTTTTTTCAATTTTTTATTTTTTGATTATGTCAAGGTAATGCACTTGCCTTAAAGTCGGCGTTTGAAATTATCGTTAATGTAATTTTAAATTCTAATATTTTCATTCACTTCCTCTTGGATGTAGATAAATCGGCGTTTAAAAAATAAAAAACAAACATATCACTTGTACTCAACGGATTATGTCACCCAATGGGGAACAACATTACTGACCGTAGACCATCTATCAACCAATCAGAGGCATAGTTGTTGACACGACTTGAGCGGTTACACTTTCGACAAAGAGAGTCGACAGCATAGCGAAGTTAACGAGCTTGTGATAAACAGAAAGTCGGTGGGATTAAAATGAGGTTTTAAATAGTATCACGGATTTGTTTGTCTCGTAAATTGTCATAAAATACAACATACGGGCTTTTCTTCTGGTTCGCTATTTTCTTAGCTGACTTACTTGGTCACAATGCTAACTAGTTAGCTAATGCTAACGTTGGCTAACTCGAAAACAGAATTTTGTAGTGCAACGAAGTGGGACATCATCCTCTTTTGTCGTCCTGCCAAACAGCTTATAAACAAGAGGTCGGTATGTATGAGTGTTAAACCTTTATTTCCTGACAATAGCTGTGGTTTAATTTGCCATCTGTCTGTAATGTAATGTGTCATCAAGCTTGAGTCACGTCGCTGGCCAGTTTCACTTAGTTACTTGACTGTCACGTTTCCTAAACCGACAGACTATGTAATGCTAATGGCTTCTTTGCTTGCCCAAGAATTAATGTGTTAATACGGGGCCCTAACTGGTGTGGGACATATGGAACTCCTGATTATGGGCAGTGGTAGAAACGTTACTAAGTAACGTTACATTTACACAAGTACTCTACTTAAAGGGAAACTACACCTATTTTCAAAATTCATACATGTTTTTCCTATTGTCAAAGACAGTCCGAAATTATTAGTCAGCATAACCAACTCTTTTCCAAATCCGAAAACTGAGGGTTAAAACTCAAATTTATGATGTCATATGGTATAAACGGTGCATTCCATTTGTACTGGGAAGTCGGATTTTCAGAGTTCCCAGTTGGAAATTTCAACTGGAAGGCCCCCTTACATTGAATTTCTAATTTGGAATGCTGGAGGAACTTCACCAATCCCGACCTCAAAATCCAATATGGTTGCTCTGTGCATCAGCGGTAGTGAAAACTGCAGTAACATACTGTTTATCAGCACTTCTGTATTATTTGTGTCTCACTAAAATAGTCATACATTCAGTACTGTCCAATTTGTAATTTGTTTGTATGTGCAAAATACATTGTAATTTGATGTTATCAACAATGGCTAACCAGGCTTGAATTGATATATCTTACAACATTAACTGTTTTCTGACTTGCACCGAAACTCAAGCCCCTTTTACACTGCCAGATTTTCTGTGAATGTTGGGCCGCAAGCGTTTAGACACACAAGGCCGGATTGGCAAGTTTATCCGAGGTGCCCAATTTTCCGCCTCGTAGGGTAGTCATATTGGCGGAACCATTTTTGTTTAAATAGACTGAGGCGGCCTTCCGCAACGGGAGGGGCTGTTGATGACGCCGCACGTGCGACCCACTGGCGGGGGATAAACAGGAAACAGCTGATAGCAGGAATTAGCGAGCAGCTAGTAGCAAGAGGGAAACGCAAACCTGACAGACACTGTAAAGGTGAGCAACTGAGGAGACAAGGAATTGCGCGCCCTCCTTGTCCTCGCAAACAAAGAGGCCATTAACTGTCAAATGACGGGAACGGTGAAGAACGGGCCGACTTACGAGAGAATCGCCGAAGGACTGACCAGCTGCAGCTTCCCTCCCACGTCACTGTTTACGTCACACGCTGAGCTACACCTTTTGTTACTTGCTCACGTCCCCCATTGCCCCGATCACATCACAAGAGCAATACTTACTTCTCTGGTTTCTGGCTTTGACAGAGAGTTGCTTATGTTCACAAATATTGATTGAACTTTCCTTGTCCATGGAAATAGCATATTGGATTCTGAATTTAGGTGGCATTCCCCTTTAAGTACAATATTGAAGTAATTTTATTGAGTATTAACGCTTCATTCTACTTTTCACTTTCACTCCACCACACTTTTAAAGCCAATATTTTTCTATATAGTCCATTCCATTTTTGTGACAGTCCTATGTACTAGCAGATTTAAATTGTTATACATCAGTCATCAGCCGTCAGTACTGTTACAAACCCACCACATCCCTCATGTTCCACCAGAAAACTGCAAATTTTTACACTGTGTGATCTTCAGCATCCTACTGCTTATGTGACATCTTGTATTTTCAGTTGCCCTCATCAACATTCTCCCTGTTTGTATTTCAGTAAGCAGAAATTACCAACATTTTGCATGGCGGTGGCTTCTGCCTCGATGGCGGATAAGATCATAGTCCTTGATGATGATGATGACGATGAAGAGGAGAATCTTCCAAAGTCCTGCTCTGCCTCCACCTCGTCCTCTCAACATCAAGCCAAAAGTGTGTCATCACTCAAAGCTCAGCAGCCTGCCCCTACCCACATTACCCAGTCACCTTTTGCCTCAGCGAAGAAGCATACGCATGTTCTTCAGGCAGAGAATCAGAGGTTGTTCACTGAGGTGAGTTTACATTAAGCGGCATAAGCCAAAGTGGCTGGGATATACTTGTATGAGTAAAAACTTGAGACAAATGTCAATTTCAAAGTATATTAGCATTTGGCCAGTAGCTGTACTATTCTTTAACACATACATTAATAATTAATATACACATTGGAATTACAAGCTCCCTTTTGAAGATGTCATGAATCCTATTCCAATGTGCTAATACCCTTTCGCTCTTCATTGCATTGATCTTTGTACCCAGCACCTGACTCCAGAAAGTTTTTGTAGATGTGCAAACATCCATCTTAATTATTGACAAAAGTATTACACTGAAGAGCTGTAACTATATTGACAATAAATTTAAACTGGGTGTGAACTGGAAAAACCTGAATCGCAATGTGCTGTTGCTGTATGTGTTCGTATTTTTCTTTTTCTTTCCTTGTTTCTCTAGTCTGTCACCATGCCTTCTCCGTTTTCATGTTTTCTTCTCTCCTTTCTCCCAGTTTGTGGAGTACTGCTCAGCTCTCACCCAGGACTGCCCGGAGGTCTTGACCTTCCTCCAAACCAAGCATGCCAAGGCCTCTCCGGACTATCTTTCATCCGTGGAGTTTAGGAACACCTTGGGAAGATGTTTGACTCGCGCTCAGGCCAACCGTTCCAAAACCTTTGTCTTCATCAATGAACTGTGCACTGCACTCAGGCAGCACGCAGCCAAGAAGAGGGTGATCCTCACCAAGGCTGAGCCTGGGCCTTCTACCTCAACATCAAGTTCTGTACAGGTTACCTCTGATATGGCAAAAGGGGAAGACGAGGCTAAAGTTCAGACGGATGAGAAAGAGAAAGGGGTGAAACCGACAGTGGAGGATGAGCAACCTTCCACCTTAGGGCTGCAGGAGGGCAATAATAAGGAGGTACAGGAAGCAGAGAGAAAGGCAAAGAGGGCATCCAGGAAACAGGTTTGTGTTGAACACTACTAAGCCTGACTATTTTTTTTTTTTTTTTAGCTGATTAGGGTTGCAACATTGTGAGCTTTTCACAGCACAATTATCAGCTCAGATAATATCACGTTTCATGGTATCACATTATATGGTATTACACAATTATTGTGATTATTTTTAGTTACAGTTACCCTACAGCAGGCATGTCCAAATTTCATCAGCCCATGGACCGATTTTTAACAGCCTATAGCTTGTCTTTCATAACATACCGTACTCTATGTGGCCCACAGTGAACAAGCAAGTTCACTATGTAATTTTTTCTGTTTACTTCATGATGGCAGAACTATCATACAGTTTGTAGACATGCACCAAGTAGGAATTATGCAGGTGTAATAATGTCTGCATGTTTACAGATGGTATATAAGCAAATGACCAGTTACCTAGCAGCAGATATTTCCTGCTGGGTAGCACACATGACCACAGTAAAGACGCGTAAAGTTGAAAGCGAGGGCTGCCTGCATTTGTCTCAGTTGAATTAATTTTTTTTTTTTTTTTTTTTTGTCGTTGTTGTTTGTTTTTTACTAATCTGTATGATTTGATGTGAGAGGCAGCTGACCCCTAAACGTTTTCGTGTTATCTAATCTGGCCCCTGTCTGAAAAAGTTTGGACACCCCCTGTCTTAAAGACAGTAAAGGAGTAAAAACAGAGGGTTGTTTTGTTTAAACAAACGCTTTATTATAATTGAGACGTGGAACAATTTTTCTAAATAGAGGTTTGTGTAAAAAGTCTGATAAGCAGTCGAAGAGGAACGGAGATGTGCAGGTGAGATTCTAGTATGAAAAAGTTATAATCAGGTGGATGATATAGGCTGAAGGAAAGGTTAAATGATCTTTAAACAAGGGTAGTAATTTGCTCTCATCCAGTCAGCTCACTGTGCAGCAAATGGGCTTGTGATGATTTTTTTCTTGTTTCTAATGCCCACATAAAGGCATTATAATCAGATTTTGATCAGTTCAACCTAATGCCATAATGCTTTTAGTACCTCACTAAAATGTAATCGTCACCTGTTCTTACTTGTTATCTTAGAAATTATTAATCAATTACAGCTAATTCCTCTGCTGTCTTTTTCCTTTCATCCTTGACATACAACTTGAGAAATAAGCACAAACATCCAGGTTTATATGCCTAAACTTATGATGACAAGTCTGTGTTGGCAAACACCTGACCCTTCATATCTATTGTCCATTTCTTTCAGATTGCGTACCTGGAGAACCTATTGAAAGTGTACAATGATGAGATCCACCGGCTGCAGCAGGCCGAGCTGAGTTTAGATGACCTGGGAAATGAGGAATCTTTATACATCCAGGAGCACAAGCTCAAACGCAAGGTTTGGCTGGAGTTTGATGCAGCATGGGTGTCCACTGGTTATAAACACTGCTGAAAGCTGTAAAAAGAACCACTGGCTTATTCATGACAGCTAGTCTCACCTGTTTTTCCTGTTGTCATCTTCTCTTTCAGATGATGAAGATTTATGAAAAGCTGTGTGAACTGAAGAACTGCAACACACTAACAGGTCGAGTCATTGAGCAGAGGATCCGCTACAATAGCACTCGTTATCCTGAGATCAACAGGAAGGTGAGCTGCTAGTTGTTGGTTCAAACTGTTGCGGTGTTCTGGAAAGTAAGAGGTCGGGTAAAACTTTGTGTTTACTATTAGTGTTACTGGGTTGTTTAATCTGAGTCCTGCTTCCACCCAGGACTACATGCAGATCTGACTCTGAAAGCTAGCACAGATAACAATAAGTATACAATTACTATATGATACCCGTTAACTCTAACCACATAGAAATCCCATAGTAAGTTTAAGTAGTGAATAGGCACGTCATGATGCCAGAAATGTAGTAGTCGTTACCAGTATCAGTGAAATTTACATTTTATTATTAATCCCTAATGATCTGCCTCCAATGCAAAGAACTGGTTAATGTGGGTTCATGAGATTTTTGTGGTTGAAGAAACCTTACGATATAGCCTACAATATACTAACATATTTCTCCTTCACTGTTGTTGTTGTTGTTCAGCACTTGTACATGTAAGATTTGACAGTAAGTTCTCCATGGTAGGCCATTTGTCCAGTGCCTTGTCAAGCTTTGAAGCAAAGTGTAAATACACAGCGTTCCCATTGCAAAGAATTAAAAACATGAGCTGAGGTGGGGCGTGTTGGTAGGTCTTCTTCTTCTTCCTCCTCTTTTTCTTCTTTTTTTCCCTCTTCCTCTTCTCCTTCCTCTTTTTCTTCTTCTCCATCATTGTCATCGGGCATTAAATAGCAGACTAGAACACTTGTAGGCGTATATGCTGCTCTGTTGGAGCTGGAAGAATTGCATCCCCAGTACCTACAGTACCGGACAAAAACAAGTATCATTACATTTTTGGAATGTTGGCATCGACTGGTACCAAAGTATCAGTTCTTGTGACATCCCTAATAATGAGCTCTTACCCCCCCAGGTATATCTTGAGCTCAGGAATATTCATTTTACGTAGGCTGCTGACCCTCCAAAAATTTCTCCATGTTGTCCCTAGACTCCCTACCATCTACCATGTTGAATCTTGAGTGTAAAAACATTACAGCTAACCTCGATCTTGCATAAAGAGGATTATTATAATGATCATTATAAATCTTTTTTATTTAGGTTTTCACAAACATCTACAGTACAGGCCAAAAGTTTGGACACACCTTCTCATTCAATGCGTTTTCTTTATTTTCATGACTATTTACATTGTAGATTCTCACTGAAGGCATCAAAACTATGAATGAACACATGTGGAGTTATGTACTTAACAAAAAAAGGTGAAATAACTGAAAACATGTTTTATATTCTAGTTTCTTCAAAATAGCCACCCTTTGCTCTGATTACTGCTTTGCACACTCTTGGCATTCTCTCGATGAGCTGCAAGAGGTAGTCACCTGAAATGGTTTTCCAACAGTCTTGAAGGAGTTCCCAGAGGTGTTTAGCACTTGTTGGCCCCTTTGCCTTCACTCTGCGGTCCAGCTCACCCCAAACCATCTGGATTGGGTTCAGGTCCGGTGACTGTGGAGGCCAGGTCATCTGCCGCAGCACTCCATCACTCTCCTTCTTGGTCAAATAGCCCTTACACAGCCTGGAGGTGTGTTTGGGGTCATTGTCCTGTTGAAAAATAAATGATCATCCAACTAAACGCAAACCAGATGGGATGGCATGTCGCTGCAGGATGCTGTGGTAGCCATGCTGGTTCAGTGTGCCTTCAATTTTGAATAAATCCCCAACAGTGTCACCAGCAAAACACCCCCACACCATCACACCTCCTCCTCCATGCTTCACAGTGGGAACCAGGCATGTGGAATCCATCCGTTCACCTTTTCTGCGTCTCACAAAGACACGGCGGTTGGAACCAAAGATCTCAAATTTGGACTCATCAGACCAAAGCACAGATTTCCACTGGTCTAATGTCCATTCCTTGTGTTTCTTGGCCCAAACAAATCTCTTCTGCTTGTTGCCTCTCCTTAGCAGTGGTTTCCTAGCAGCTATTTAACCATGAAGGCCTGATTGGCGCAGTCTACTCTTAACAGTTGTTCTAGAGATGGGTCTGCTGCTAGAACTCTGTGTGGCATTCATCTGGTCTCTGATCTGAGCTGCTGTTAACTTGTGATTTCTGAGGCTGGTGACTTGGATGAACTTATCCTCAGAAGCAGAGGTGACTCTTGGTCTTCCTTTCCTGGGTCGGTCCTCATGTGTGCCAGTTTCGTTGTAGCGCTTGATGGTTTTTGCGACTCCACTTGGGGACACATTTAAAGTTTTTGCAATTTTCCGGACTGACTGACTTTCATTTCTTAAAGTAATGATGGCCACTCGTTTTTCTTTAGTTAGCTGATTGGTTCTTGCCATAATATGAATTTTAACAGTTGTCCAATAGGGCTGTCGGCTGTGTATTAACCTGACTTCTGCACAACACAACTGATGGTCCCAACCCCATTGATAAAGCAAGAAATTCCACTAATTAACCCTGATAAGGCACACCTGTGAAGTGGAAACCATATCAGGTGACCACCTCTTGAAGCTCATGGAGAGAATGCCAAGAGTGTGCAAAGCAGTAATCAGAGCAAAGGGTGGCTATTTTGAAGAAACTAGAATATAAAACATGTTTTCAGTTATTTCACCTTTTTTTGTTAAGTACATAACTCCACATGTGTTCATTCATAGTTTTGATGCCTTCAGTGAGAATCTACAATGTAAATAGTCATGAAAATAAAGAAAACGCATTGAATGAGAAGGTGTGTCCAAACTTTTGGCCTGTACTGTAGGTCCAATACAAAGCAGAAAACCTAACAATAATTTGATATAAATCAGTACAATCTAGTGATGACCCAGGTAAAGTTATTTATATCCTATTGTCAGTAGTTTAATCTTACATTTTTTGAACCAGGAGGTTAGGCTGGGGGAGCTGTGTCATTCAGCATCATGTGGGTTATTCTGACATGCTCCTGATCTGATATCCTATGTTCCCTCCTCCTGTCAGATTGAACGTTTCATCAACAGCCCTGAGGCGCAGAGGAACCCTCCAGATTACCAAGACATCCTCCAGCAGGTGCTGCGCGCCAATGTGCGCCACAACCTGTGCCTGAGCCGAAAACAGCTAAACCAAATCGCCCAGGAGGCTTTCAGAGAGACAGGGAGCAGCCTACAGGAGAGACGTCACCTGGACCTGGTGTACAACTTTGGCTCATGGCTCACTGACACCTACAAGCCTGGTAAGGCTTCAGGCAGGAATATTAGTTTAGTTAACTAATAAACGGTAAACACATCATATTCTGTTTTGGACCAAAGAGAACAAACCTTTTTGGGCACTTCAGTAACCATCCATTGTCCCATGCAGCATGCAAGTACGGAAATAATTGTTAAACCAACATGAAAATGCCTAGGACTTCATGGGTTTAGAGGTGTATAAATGTTGACACTTATTGTGGTCTGTTAAGGCCCAGACACACTAAACCGTTATTAACGAATTAGTGGCAGCAGAGGCTGACTGTTGCGTCGCATCATGTCGCCTGCATCTTGGCCAAACAGTTGCACCTAACACACCCCGAGACTACATACAGTGGACTACATACAATAGCCAACTAGCACATAAGTTCAGCGCCTACATAAGAAGAAATAACTCTCCATACCAGCAGGCGGTGGTTGTCTGTATTCCTCATTCAAAAAGGGAAACCAGGAGATGGACAGGATGGATTCAAGATGCTAGTTAGCCAGTTAGCACATTACCAACACAACCCAATGTCAAAAGAACAAAGAATATTCACCATGCACTAGCAAAAAACCCCCACAAACAATAATAAACTTTTTCAGCTAAAGAGCTCAATGGCTAAGAAATAGTCTTACCTAATATAACAAGCTTGTTTTGATCTTATGCGCTCTTGAGATGACCATTGGCTTGGTGGGTGTGGGCCCTTAGCAAATTCAAAAAGATAAAACATGTATAAAATACAATATATGTAAATAGGAACATGATTTGTACTGTTTAAAGAGCTAACCTGTCTTTAGATTTTAGAGCCTTCAATAAAAGTGTAAAAAAAAGAGTAACAAAGCTCCTAATTGGTATTTCTTGCTTGAAGCTTATCTAACTCTAATTTATTGACCCCTCCGTTCTTGCTCTTGCCTGTTCCTCTGTTTTTTGTCATCATCAATCCTTCCTCTCACCTGCTGTTCCTCTCTTTTCTCCACCACCCTCTAAAGCTGCAGATCCAGCTCTGTCAGACCCCTCACTGCTGAGGCGGCTTCGGTCAAACAGAGAAGAGGCTCTGTCCCGTCTGGAGGAGGTCATCACCAAGTACGCCGTCAGACAAGAGGACACGGAGGAGCAGGAGAGGGCCAGACGACTGGAGAAAGACAAGGAGAAAGACAAGGAGAAAGAGGTATGACAGCATCTTGGGAGGGGGGAAAATCCTCACCGGCGTGTTCTGCTTTCAGTGTTTGATAGGCATGGGATGGGCTGCGCTTTAAGAAATTGTCCCATTTTTGTCTTCTTTTCTGGTGTGGAAGTCAGAGAGATGCCACACTGAAGCAAGGCAAGACTTGCACACAGAACAAAAAGTTGCAGAGCTGTACAGACAGTGAAAAAATGTGCATAGAGTGCCAAAACTGCAGATGTTTCAGTCCATGAATGGACTTTCCTCATATTTGTGTATAAAACACAAACGTCTTAGGTGACAGATCTTCCTGTCGACACATGAATACACCAGTGGTACAATTGTTAAATCCATCTGAGATTTCAACTGCATTCCTTTGCAACAACATTGTATAAATGCTGTATAGAAATAAACACTCCATAATATTTGCTTGATGGTGAATGGCCTCCCTCACAGCAAGCAAGATGTTCATACCTGTCAGAAATAAATGTAAACCAGTGGCTGCCATCAGATGAAAAAAAAAATGCATTGGGAAAATGGTCAGTAACTTGTAGTAAATGGCATAAAACTCATATGAAAGAACACTGCCTTGCTACTTCAAACAGCAAGACAACAGCCACTACTGATGGGGGTTGGAAAACAGGAATCTGAAATGTATCATAATTTTGTTTCACTTAAATGAAAAGTGTTGCCTGGTGTGGGACCAGCACCTGATCCCGTCTCTGACGGTTATTTATCAATTTATTTTTCATTCTTGTTCCATTTTTCATGCTCCCTTCCTCTGCCCCTGGCTGTCTGGTCCTGTCTGACCCTCACACATCTTATTTTCAGGCCCACAGATCAGAAAATGGAGGAGAAAATAAAGAGGTGAATGGAGTGGCAGAGGAAGAAGAGGAGGAGGAGGAGGAGGAGGAGGAGGAGGAGGATGATGACGAAGAAGATGAATCATCAGACCCAGACATTGAGGAAGAGATCCAGGCCAGCACTCAGCAGGATGGACCAGGTTAGAGCAGAGATATGAATTCAATTTTTTTCTTTCTGAAATGCGAAAGTGTTGATGGTGAAGCTAGTGTTGGTTTTCCTGCCATTGGTAAACAATGTCTACATATTTCTAAAACATAATTTGGTATAGTTTTCAACAAGTAATTATCTTCAAGATGGTTTGTTAAAGGGCTCTACAATTTCGGCTTGTGGGGACAGTAAATGCAAAGAACTTAAAATGAAGCAGAGGGTTATGAGTTGTGCCTACAGTATATTTCTGGAAGTAATAAAATAATAACATGGAGGCTCTGTAGTCTGAACCAAATCAACAAAGACACATACACTAGGGGTAGGGGAAAAGATCAATACATCATAGTATCGCAGTATTTTTGTGTGGCAATATCATAGCGATGCCAAGTGTCATAGTACACATAGTATACTTTTCTCAATTTCTTTTTCAGTCTAAAGATCCGTTTTGTTACAGTGAAAATGACTGAGGAGAGATAAAAAAGACTTTATCTTATTAGATAAAACGAATGTTGACAAAATTATCCTTTGGGGTTATAATTAGCAGTTGAAAAAAAGGTAATAAATTACAATGTATCACAATAACCGTTTTCCATTACCTCTTTTGTCTGTGCCAAGTCAAGCTAAGCCACGCCGATTGGTTTTTCCATTATCAGTTTAGACATGCCGTGCCATGCTGAGCTACGCCAGAGATGGACCTTCTCTAGAGTAGGTCCAAAAGTTGGCCGCCCTCATGCAGGTAGTGGTGACGTCTCGCCACCAGCAACCAACCCCCTATGACCCCCGTTCTGAAACAAGCCGTGTTTATTGTGAGACTTTACTCACCAGAGAGAGAGGCTTTTTTTTTTTAAGATATTTTTTGGGCATTTTTAAGCCTTTAATTGATAGGACAGACAAGTGTGAAAGGGGGAGAGAGAGAGAGGGAGTGACATGCAGCAAAGGGCCACAGGCTGGATTCGAACCCGGGCCGCTGCGGCAACAGCCTTGTACATGGGGCGCCTGCTCTACCACCAAGCCACCGACGCCCCGAGAGAGAGGCTTTTTAAAAGGTCTTTGTGTGTTCAGCTGTCAGTACTTTTGCAGCTTCTCGTTGAATCTCTGTTGTTGGAGTTTAGTTTCTCTCCTGCAGCCTGTTTTTACTTCAGATATATGCTTTATTTTAGGGTTTTATGTTCACTCTGTTGTAATGGAAATGCAAAGCTCTGCAGTGCTAGGCTGGCCACCCCAGCCAAACTAAATGAAGCCAATTCAGTCCACTGTAATGGAATAAGGGTATCTGTCCCCACACTCAGCACCCTGCCCCCTGTGAAACACCCCAAGCCATAAAAGATGGCAAAATGCAGACGGTGGTCTGTCACACTTAAGACGCCCATGCAAGTGCAACAAAATACCTGCAAGCAAAAAGTCAATTCAAGTAATTTATTAATGTGGGTTGTGCAAAAAATGTACAGACAACAAAAATAAACACAATGAAATACAGTTCATTCAGATAACAAATGCTGCACTGGAACAGCAAACACTGGAGAATACTCCTTTAAAGGGACAGAGAAATTCCCTTGAGACAGCGAGAAGGGCAAAAATATTGTTTTTTTTTGTAACTATAAAGTACTTGAAGTGCGCACTATGCACTTTATATCTAGAAAAAATTAGAAGTAATGGATAAAGACTCTGTGTCGGCAGATACTCAGTATTAATTGATTTGGATTGTGAAAGGGGGCAAAAGCATTTGTTTGGGACATTCCTATCCGTCACTATTACATTGTGCAATTAACATTTACTCCATAATGATAAGTTAAAGGGAAAAAAAGTCTCCTTCCACTTTGTGAATGTCTTATTTAGAATGCCTCCATTAGTGATGAATATCTCCTGGGCATCTCTGTGGCATATTTTCATTATGCACTTTCTTTCACTTGATTGGTAAAACCCTGATGACAGGGTGCCAGAGACCTTGAGCAAAGATTTCATTACATTCATTTCCCACTTTCTATAGACGATGATGAGAACGAGGACGATGACGGCAACGAGGCAGAACCAGCCTTTGATGGTACCAACAAGGACGATCAGATGGATCAGTTGTCAGGAAGCGTTTCTGCAGAGCGGGAAGGAAGTGTGAAAGATCAGGATGAGGAGCCAGTCACAAGTGGGCTTAGTCCTCTTTCTGATGAAAGCAAGTCCCAACTGTCTGACATCCCGTCCCCTAGACAGAGCCCATGCCAATCACAGTCAATGCAGACAGATGACCAGACAACATTGTCTAATGGTAACCATGCAGGATTAGAGGAGACCGTGGATTCCTCCAATCAAGTTTCAGTTGTACTGGTAAGCACCAGCAAAGTTAGAAAGGACCCTGTGTCACCGGCAGCAGCCAATGGGGTGTCTCAGCCCCTGTCGCCAGTGGTTATTGTAGAAAATCGTGACACACTCACTACCAATGGCACGTCACCGCCACCCGGCATCAGAGCCACAAGGAGCCAGAAGAGGAAGAGGGAGGACATAACATCAGAGAAGTCCCGAAATACAAAGCACATACTCATCGATGACAGGTACTGTAAGACTCTGTTGGTGGTAGATTAGGACATAAATCTATTTAATATTGTTATGGTAATATTTGACATATAATGAACACATGGTCATGTATTTCTCATAGTAGGTATAAATCCATTTTAGTACACTTAATGCGCATGTGTCAGTGTATTGACAATCTTGGAACCCATCCACTATTGGTCTGATGATAATTTCAGGGGTTCTGGTGTAGCCAGCAGATATCCGGTTTTGTTAACTTAAACTTTAGTAATTAAGTTGCTCCGAGTCCTCCTGACTGTGCTCATTGTGTGTGAGCAAAACACTCATCAATTTAACCATTTCCAGACATCTGTATTTCTCGATTGATTTTCACCAAATAATGGACTTTGATCTTGTCTAGTTTTTATCCCTTAAATTAGTGCTGTGAACACCTTCTCTCACCTATGAACCGTTAGAGTAGGTTGAAAAAGTTTCTCAAACTCAGCCTGGGACTTCATAGTCAAGAAATGGCAAATCTGAATTTACAATGCCAGTTTTTAAGTTCTGCTTTAGGTCAAGGCTCACGTAAAATGTTAGATGCAGCTCTAGTTCACTGAAGTTTTATCAGAGAAGTCTGTTTTTTTTTTTTGTTTGTTTTTTTGTTTGTTTGTTTTTTTTTGCTGATCTACTTCTACCTCTTCACTTCTCTCCCCATGTTCTTGTCCCTCCATCCCACTCTACATCCACGCGCCCATTGTTCCCTCCTCAGTGAGACAGACATTCCTCTGGACATGGGCGTTTTCAGCTGCAATTCTCCACAGCAGGTAGAGTCAACCCGAGCAGACACTCCAACCCAGGAAATGGTCAGCAGCTCACAGTCGACACCGCCTCCCAAGAAAAACAAGGTGGGGGCACACAGAGAGATGAGAATCACTGGTGATCGTAGTGTTGGTCAAAAGCTGGATCACAGTTAGGTTTCTAGATTGACAGAAAGGTTTTCAAAGTGTTCAGGTGTGCAGATCATGTCTCTCATTTGTGACACTGGTAAAATGGCACCTCCAAATTGAGTACTTGATCTAGTTTACAATTTTGTCGTCTTTTTTATTCAGAATTTAGATAAAGAATGTAAGACAAATCTTATTTCTCAGGTTTTTCATGAAGTATGTGCAACAGTTGTTTCTAATCTGTATTTCAGTTATTAAAGCTACTCTATCGTGTTTTTTCCCCCAACAGAGCATCATAATTATTGTTATGATCACTATTAGTTTTATTGTAAATAATAATAAGTAAATAAGTTCCCACCAAATTGATCACCATTACGGTTAGAGGTCCACTACTTTTATACAGTGTATATCAACAACATGAGTCATTGTGATTTTCCAAAAGAATATATTTTTGTTTTTATCCTACATGACTGTTCGACTTGATGCTCGTATTTTGTTGTTTTCACAGATTTTTCACCACAGAAATGTAAAACAGCAGGAGCAAATTAGTTAAAATAGATTTTTATGCAGATTGAATGTTCCTGTCTGCCTCAAACAAGGTCCTTTTTAAAGTGTGAACAGCTCAGAATATGCCTAAAAAACAAAAACGCACCTCAGTTAATGATTGTGCTCCAGACTTCCTCAAATTAAAAGCAGAATAAAATAGAATTTCATTTCTCACAAATGGTATATTTTATAAATAAAAATGATGAATATTAAATCTGATTCTATTATTACATATACATAGTACACATTTTCTAATCGTGCACCTTTTCTTTTGTCCAGGTCAATGTGGCCACCCAGTGTGACCCGGATGAAATAATTGTCCTGTCGGACTCTGAATGACCTCCCACTTTAATGCAAGATTCTTCCACATCTCACCTGTATTCTGGGACAGATTTCCTGAAAAGATCCATTTCTAAGGACTGCCTTGTCTGCTATCTTGCAAGAAGAGGAAAAAGGCTAACATTACTGTTCTAAATGTGATCTAAACAGCCATTTGTGGCTGTGGAAGATGGGGAAAACTATGAATTTAGTACCTCACTTGATTACATATAACCAAGCCAAGACAGGTGTTTTTGTAAAAGACTTAAATAAAATAATTGTAACATTTTAAAGGAAGCTGTTTAATCAGGACATGTTTTTTTTGGAAAATCAAGGAGTCCTTCTCTTCTGCTGTGTGTACCAGAAAATACAGCTGTACTTTTCTTTTTCTAAGCAGAGAAACATTTGGGCTATTCCAAACTCAGAGATAAAAAAAAGAAAAATCCTCTTGGGATGATTGTCCCTCCGTTCAGAGTTTTGTTAGTGTGGTTTGGGTTAGAAACCAGTGCCTAAAAACTTGAACTGTGCAGCCGGATAGGTGGCCCAGACAGGGAGTTCTGTTTTCACAGACACATGACTGGCAAGGACTTAAACTCACCACCAGTTTGTTTACATTTTTATATTTCAATTGCTTTTTTCCCCCATAAAGGAGAGTGGGTAGTGGTGGTCTGAACAAAAGGAATTTTAGATGATTGTTTAACTTGCAATTTATGGTGTGTGCATCGAACCAGTGAGCTGTGTGGTGGTTTGTACTCTACTGTTAGCTGTGTGTGGACTGCAGCACTGACAGTGGGCAATGACACTTTAAAATGTTACCTTTTTATGTTTTCCCTCCAAACCTATTTCTATTTTCAGGTTTATAATAAAGAAAGTGACTATTTTTATTTATGTCTGCCGTTGGATCACTGAAGAGTTTCTAGATAGATATTGGATTGAATGCTGACAAAGCTAATAATAATAATAGGTTGGTAATATTCTATATTTTTCTTATAGTCAACATCCCATCGAAAGACCAAAACCATGACTCTGTAATCAAAGCCTGATAAATGTCATTCCTCTGTGCCACAGAGAGTGCTGCAGGAATGATCCTAAAATTTGGAAATGAGTCAGCATTTTTACACTCCCGGTTCCCTCTTCTTAAAATCAATGGGTTTTTTAAATTTGAATACATTTTTGATTAGATGCCTGCAATAAGGTCTGTGATTAACATAAGCCTAAGTGTTTTGTTCTATGACATAAAATATGTCAGTAAATACTCCACTTATAAATGTTGAAGCTTCTCTGTGTATTAAAAACGTTAAAAAACTACATTTTTGACCTATTTTTAAAGATTTAAGTCTTCAGTAGGAACCAGTGGGCTTGCTGCAGAGAGCAGGGTAACACAGTCAGACAGTAGCAGGAGATGGACTACAACATTGTTGGTTTTGGTCTTTGCATAGAATTGTTGACATTAAGCCTTATCCTTTATGTAGCTATAGCACAAAAATGTTTCCTCATGATTCTGACAGGTCTGAAAGAGATGCATCTCAAACAGAATCTCTCCGTAACACTGATCATTTCTACCTTTGCCTCTGCCCAGCCCTGATAACTACATTTATTCATTTGGTCCTCACAGTTTAACACCAAATCAAAACTCAGCACAGTAGCTATTAGTCTAAATTCAAACAACGATCAAACCATGAATGCCTTTTTTACTGAAGCCAGTCCCGGCCCAGTCAAGGATCCTAAACACCTGAGCATTATGACAAGAAAGAAATTAAGTTTTATTCTGACACAAAAAATGATTCACTTTAATACAAACAAGCATTTTTTTATTTTTTTTTACAGTTGTTGGTGCAGCTAATAGCTTGTTGTTCTCTCCTGTCAATACACTGGGTACTCAGATACATTAAGCCATCAGAAAGGAAATTTCTGCATCCCTGCTGTCGTTTTGAGTACAGTGATGCACTTCAGATCTCTAGCATTTGATAAGTAAGGTTTTTTTTGTGAGTAGTATGTATTGCGTTCATTATTATAACTAGCTGTCTGGCTGGTTCCTGTGTAAAACAAGTACTAGAATATTGATGGAAGAGTGTTGGTGAAATCTCTCAACTTTTTATCCTGACAACAACCCCCATTTTTGTCTTTTCTTCCTGAATCCCCTGAATTTTTATTTAATTTTACCACACAGGTTGAAATTATATTTTGGGGTAATAGTCTTTTCAGAGTGCAGACCTGGAATGTAGTTACAGTAGGTAAGATCTGCCGGGCCTTATGTATGCAGAGGGGTGATCCATCATTCACTGTGAATTTTTTTCTTTTTCATTTTTGATAAATAAATTATACATTTTATATGTACAGCCTCTGTGTTGCTGATTTTTACTTGTTCTTTAACTAAATATATGGCAAACATTTTTATTGTATGAAAAGAATTCTGCAAAGGCTGCAGGTTATTTTAGTTAAATGTCAAATATTGTAAAAAGTCAGTTTTCCATTGCTGCGTCTCAAATCAGATACTTTTCCACACTCACATGTAGTGCACTGCGTACACTATCTACTTGCATTTTATGCAAATTTTAACAGAATGATTGTGTCTCAAATCAAACACAGCCAATGCACACTTTTCGGGAATGACAATCGCAAGATCTGGCAGCTTTTCTTCCTCTGCTCGGCGAATTGCAACCAGGCAGAGCATATGTGCAACATTCATCAAATGTGTTACTTGCTAAAATACATGCTTGCTGTGTGTGTTTGTGTGCTTAGCTTCTGTATTTATTAATTTACTTATTCTATTAAAAAAAAAAGAAGCTGTTACAGCACATCACCATATCTTTAGATGTCCATGGCTGATGATGGCTGGCTCCATCACCAGCTGATCTACAGAGCTGATAATAGCTGCCACATTTTCTGAATATTTACAACTTGTCAAGCATCTGACCAAACATGCATAAACACCAAACGTAACTTACTAAAGACCATATAGCTTACGCCACAACATGTGACGTCAATGCCTGATAATAACTGAAATAATAAATGAAAACTGCACACTCAGCTTTTTGACCCTTATCATCAGTGCACCATCTGGGTACTCCCAGTGCACTGCATTTTGTTGTAGTTCTGGGTGTGACTAGAGCCGTAGAATAGACCTATTCAAGGGCTCTGAGTGTGAACACAGTGGGAACAGCATAAGCACACAGTATTCAATTTAAGATACAGCACGAGTTTTTTTTCTCATAAGGCAGGAATAGGTGCTATATAAATACTGTGAAAGTATTAAAACACTCAATCCACAGTGAAATTTACACATTCAGTATTTAAAAACTGTGCCTTTGAACGAGCCGTCAGGACTTCTGTGAAGTTGTGATGTCGCAGTTGTACTATATAAAGGTTGAAACTGCTGCTACAGTGCCATTCTAGTATTCCCTGATGACACGATGACAATGCAGAGTTGCCACCAGCACAGATGCAACAATCCAAGAGAAAAAGTTGGATTGTTGCATCTGTCGCTGTAGCTTCTTTGTTGTATTACAGTATTAACTTACTGCAAATTTCTCTGAATATTGAGGCATTTGCAGTTAACAATGAAGCCTAAACCTGCGTAGCTTCTGCTGATATGAACCATTCCAAGATTTATTTATGTTTTATTTATATTTTTCAAGACTTGAACAGAGATTAAAGACAGACAATGTCCTCTATTCGCACCAAATAATTTATTAATCCATTATTTTGATACAGGGCAGAGGTGAATACTGATGTACTGTAGGTTATTACATTATTAGTACCACTCAGGATTTACATAAAAATGTCTATTGACAACTGTCATTTTCAGTTCAACAATCAACTGGTCAATCAGAAGACGTAAGAAGTTACACAGTTTGTGGAATGTACAAAAATAATTAAATTACCTCAGTCTAGTTTTCAGCAGCAACTCTGAGCTCTCTATGTGGATCCTTCCATCTTTTCTTTCTCTTGATGAAAGAATGTTCAGCTCATTCATATTAGACGGGGTGCAAAGGGAAACCATGTGGTCCTAGTTTGGAGTTTTTGATTGATTTCTTTGTTTTAATTAAGGTGGCTTTATTGGCACAAGTGCATACAATGCAATGTTACGAAAACATGTTAATAAAAGGGCAAGAAAAACAAATGGGCCATGGATAAGAATAACAATAGATGATGTCTGTTGTAGTTCAGAAACTGTTCAGTGTGTTGGCGCTGCAGCAGATGAAGCTGCAGAGCTTCTGGAGACACAACAATAAACTGCATCATATTCCATTATTTACGAGGACACCAAAAGGCATTGCGAAATAACAGGGTGCTTATAGGGTCCCTCAGTCACCACAGGGCCCTTGAAAAAATAAAAATGTGAACTTTGTGGTTTGGGGTCTATTTTGTTTATTTTTTGTGTCATAAATTAAGTATTTTAATATGCACTTTCTGATTCAGCACATTTCCAAATAAGAGGATGCTAAATTTAGAGATGTAGAGGTGATATAGTGAGATCAAATTATGTCAGTCTTCTTTCAAAGAAAAACAGTTTCTGTATAGTTGCATTTAGCATACGTCCAGACCACATGCTATCAGATGTAAACTGCTAACTGCACGTAAAGTTGGAGTCAGTAATTCTGGAGAAAGAATATTATTTGAAGTAAACATCAATACACCCCTCCACCTCAGCACTCCCTCAGAAGGTCCTCTGCCAGATAATTTTGAGCATCAAACACTTAATTTCCTGCATCCTGGTGATTTTTTATGCATCAATTTGTCCCTTTTCTTCTTCATTTTAAGGTATAAATGTCTTTAATTTTGTCAACATAAAAGTCCTCTGCTACTTCAATGTTTTATGGGGAGCAGGGGAGACAAGTATACACACATATTGAGGGGGATGTGTCCCCTGCGTACCACCCGATATACCCAAATGCATCCATGGCCTTTCTCCTGTCCTGTGCACAAGCACAAACGCCCCCTGTTACTGATTGGCTGCAATAGTGATGTGTAGCTGGGTCTGAGCAACCTTGTTTGTTTGCCATTTACAGAGCCAGGGCTGTGTATGAACACACACACACACACACACACAGATCAGACAGGAAGCAGACCATGAGGACATATCTGCTGAATTCAACAAAAAGTGTATTAGATTAAAGTTGCTGACTGTGCCTTTAAATCCACAACTTCCTGTGTTAGTTTACATGACAGACTGAGTGTTACAGAATCTAACATCACGATTGTTACTGACTAAACCTCAGACTATCCTCAATCACTGGAAGTAAAAAGTAGAGATTATTTTGTCACCCATCGCTTAGAAATCAATAACTGGTTTCCCAAGAGTTCACATATTTCTGACTGAGCCTTCTCTGAACACAAAACACCTCAGAATCTTCACGTTGTGTTTGTAGACATACATACAAATAAATGTGCTCATCTTGTTTACCTACATTCACTCTGTGTAGTTATCTATATGCACATGTTTAACTCCACACTTAAGATAAGCATTAGATCACCATTAGACACGTCACTCACACATTCTGCGTTTACAACCATCCACTGTTTTCTCTGTAGGTGTTCAGTAGAGGAGTAAACAAACAGGAACAAATTTGAAACCCAAATGACCTACAAACACAAGTGAAGTCATAGAGGAAACACTGGAGGTCACACATCACAGATCACTGAACACATACAAAAGCCAACAGTCCTTTCATTTAGCCCCAAACCCGCATATAAAAATATTCAACCTCAGCCTTCATAGAAGGTAAAACATTCATATCCTTTATCACTTTGCTCTATGTAACTGCATCTCCGAAGGCATGTGAAATATTCAAGAGGTCATGTGTGATATTTCTTCCACCACCAACTGTCCTGTGCTGTAGCTACACTGGCACACTGAAGTATGATTTGGTTAAAGTGTGTTGGACACAGATAATTCAGCTTCATAAACAAACACAGTTATCACACTGCTGCAGCTTTACATTATCATAACCTCATAATCAAAGTAACAGCTGTGGCCACAAGGGGGCACACTTCTTTGAAAATGAATATTCATCAAAAATAATGATGCACTTCTCTTTTATATAAAACCACGTTTTTCCAAATTTTAGAATTACATAGTTTGTTCTTTCAAAAGGGGGCCACTTGCTTACAATTAAAGGGTACGTTTGGTATGTTTTAAACCTGGACCCTATCTTTTTATCTTTTGTCTACATGTCTAATGGGAACAACAGTTTTTAAAACTGGTCCAGTGTTAAGCAAGACCGCTGCAACCAGCCTGAAACAGGCTGCAATGCAACAATAAGGGGCAATTGTGCACTATCAATTTTGGCTGGCTAAAAGTGCTTGTTTTTGCCACTGACCAGCTCAGATTATTGTTTAAAGTTTCTGACATTATGGAAAGGATCCCTAGAGAGATAGATCTTTTTGTTAAAGAGTGAGATCCTTTTTGTTTAATCAGAAACTGCCCCAAAAGATTTATAACCAAAGCCAACGAACTCCATTTTAAATTCATACACGCTAAAATTAATGTTTATTCAAATTAAGTTTGGTCGGTTAGGTGATGGTGACTTCAGGGCTGTTTCTGGTTAAAATAAAAAGGTTCTTACTCTTTAAACAAAAGGTGTTTCTGCCGGAATCCTTTACATAAATTTGTCGGACACTTCTAATAGTAATCTGAGCCTGTCAGTGGCAAAAACAAGCACTTTTAATGGACATAATCTGAGGAGGGAACATGCCCAATATTGGTGACATTGCAACCTGTTTAACAGCTGCTGGCTGCAGCCCTCTCGCTCAGCACTGGACCAGTTTTAACAACTGTCGATCCCACTAGTCACATAGAAACAAACATGTTAAAGTAGGGTCTGGATTGAAAGATACTGAACTCACCCTTGAAGTTTTATCTAAATGAGACACACTGCTCATTGTTAAAACTCATGCTACAGTAAAGTTTGCAATATTGCAGGTGGAGTCCTGATGTTGACAACATTTCCTGCTCTGATGATGTGTGAACAGCTCCACCTTGTGGAGAATCTGCAGCCTGCTAAATGTGGCTAAGTTTGTCAGTTTCTGAAAGAGTTACGAGCAGCTCCGTGAGGTGAGTCGACAACATAAGATAACAAGCGAGGTGAAGAAAGTGTTTGCTTTCTTATAACAAGTCTGCAACTTACTATATAAGGACACATAGGAATGTATCGTATTTTTAAGGTTCGCCAGTGAGAGTTATCTGGTGATGTATCGTAAAACATCAGTACTGTTGCTATGGTTACCTTTAATTTAATATACAGTACAGGCCAAAAGTTTGGACACACCTTCTCATTCAATGCGTTTTCTTTATTTTCATGACTATTTACATTGTAGATTCTCACTGAAGGCATCAAAACTATGAATGAACACATGTGGAGTTATGTACTTAACAAAAAAGGTGAAATAACTGAAAACATGTTTTATATTCTAGTTTCTTCAAAATAGCCTCCCTTTGCTCTGATTACTGCTTTGCACACTCTTGGCATTCTCTCGATGAGCTTCAAGAGGTAGTCACCTGAAATGGTTTCCACTTCACAGGTGTGCCTTATCAGGGTTAATTAGTGGAATTTCTTGCTTTATCAATGGGGTTGGGACCATCAGTTGTGTTGTGCAGAAGTCAGGTTAATACACAGCCGACAGCCCTATTGGACAACTGTTAAAATTCATATTATGGCAAGAACCAATCAGCTAACTAAAGAAAAACGAGTGGCCATCATTACTTTAAGAAATGAAGGTCAGTCAGTCCGGAAAATTGCAAAAACTTTAAATGTGTCCCCAAGTGGAGTCGCAAAAACCATCAAGCGCTACAACGAAACTGGCACACATGAGGACCGACCCAGGAAAGGAAGACCAAGAGTCACCTCTGCTTCTGAGGATAAGTTCATCCGAGTCACCAGCCTCAGAAATCGCAAGTTAACAGCAGCTCAGATCAGAGACCAGATGAATGCCACACAGAGTTCTAGCAGCAGACCCATCTCTAGAACAACTGTTAAGAGGAGACTGCGCCAATCAGGCCTTCATGGTCAAATAGCTGCTAGGAAACCACTGCTAAGGAGAGGCAACAAGCAGAAGAGATTTGTTTGGGCCAAGAAACACAAGGAATGGACATTAGACCAGTGGAAATCTGTGCTTTGGTCTGATGAGTCCAAATTTGAGATCTTTGGTTCCAACCGCCGTGTCTTTGTGAGACGCAGAAAAGGTGAACGGATGGATTCCACATGCCTGGTTCCCACTGTGAAGCATGGAGGAGGAGGTGTGATGGTGTGGGGGTGTTTTGCTGGTGACACTGTTGGGGATTTATTCAAAATTGAAGGCACACTGAACCAGCATGGCTACCACAGCATCCTGCAGCGACATGCCATCCCATCCGGTTTGCGTTTAGTTGGACGATCATTTATTTTTCAACAGGACAATGACCCCAAACACACCTCCAGGCTGTGTAAGGGCTATTTGACCAAGAAGGAGAGTGATGGAGTGCTGCGGCAGATGACCTGGCCTCCACAGTCACCGGACCTGAACCCAATCGAGATGGTTTGGGGTGAGCTGGACCGCAGAGTGAAGGCAAAGGGGCCAACAAGTGCTAAACACCTCTGGGAACTCCTTCAAGACTGTTGGAAAACCATTTCAGGTGACTACCTCTTGAAGCTCATGGAGAGAATGCCAAGAGTGTGCAAAGCAGTAATCAGAGCAAAGGGTGGCTATTTTGAAGAAACTAGAATATAAAACATGTTTTCAGTTATTTCACCTTTTTTTGTTAAGTACATAACTCCACATGTGTTCATTCATAGTTTTGATGCCTTCAGTGAGAATCTACAATGTAAATAGTCATGAAAATAAAGAAAACGCATTGAATGAGAAGGTGTGTCCAAACTTTTGGCCTGTACTGTATCTTGTACGCTAATGTCCCAATACAAAGTACTAATGAACTCAATGGTGTAAACATACTTTACCACACAATGTTTTTCTATATACATACATTTGTTTTAAATCATGTAACTACTACATGTTATGTTTCCATTGTAAGATTAGAATATTACACACAGAAAAAAATAGTGCTGAGGAAGTGAAAGTGCTTGTAAGGCACCTGAACCCATTTGGCAAAAATGTTGGCATGGCGACACATACAACATGACTTAGTGTTTTAATGGAAAAGCAAAGGCTACAAGTATCCATACTGTGGTGTGTACTGTCAATGAGTCTTATCAGTAGTTGAACCGGTAAATGTTCAGAATGGTCCCAGTGTAAATACAGCACAGAACTAATAGTATTTAAACCACAGCAGGGCCCAGAGAACATGATCCTTGTGTTCAGTGGAGAAATGAGAAAGAGAAACTTTGAGGTTACGTTTCTATGAGGTTCAAGGTAAACAAACCAACCTGCATTTCAATTAGGCATCTTGAGAGCAAGTTCTTTTTTTGTTTTATGGTGAGTAGACAATGATGAACTCCAAGTCCTGAGTTCCCAGAAGTGACTACAATTATCTGCAATCCAGCCTTCCCCCAAATATTGATTCAGCAGGTGTTAAATGTACAACAGTCTGATTATAGAAAGGAATGCAAATCTATGGCGGCTCTAAAGTCCTGTTAGGTGATATTTTTTAATCTTGTGTGCACAAGATAATTTACTACAAATTCACACGCGTCTCTAAAGACTACAGATGCACAGAGCCAACACGTGATGGAGAAAGCTCTACTTATCTAATTTTATTTTCTATGGAGCCTCGAAAGTCCTGTGATATTATTTTATCTTATGCACAGAAATTACTATCTTGTGGGAACAAGTTAATTATCTTGTGCACACAAAATGATTAACTTTTTCCCACAAGATAAAAAAAAAAAGTGTTAAAGTTGTTACTGAATATTTTGTCTATCAACTTGTAGTTTTCAATACCACTGTTACTCAAAATTTAGAAAATCCAAAGAGGAAACAGAATATTCAGGACACTTGACAAGTCCAATATTGAATTTCCTTTTTCCATTAGAGTTGAAGTTTTCTTGAGGTGGTTCCAAAAAATCAAAACATTGCTGACCTTGACTCTGAAATCTTAAGCCTTTTAACACATTTGCATCCAAGGCCAAAACAGGAGCAACAGCAAAACTCCTGTAGATAATATCAATACATACAACCTTTTGGGAGGTCAGGACCTGCATGACTCTATGATGCTAACATGTTTGCAGGAAGAAAATCCACCAGTGGGAAATCAAGGAATCCAAAGACAGAAGATAAATGAAATGTGTAGCACTCTTCATAACAAAATACTGTCATATAAAAAGATTAAAACAAATATGTGACTTCTCTGTGTGCATAACAGCTACTGCAAAAATGAGGTTTACTTTTCATTTGGGTCCATAACTTCTATTGTGTCAACCCTTTAGAGGAGGTATGCTTGTAAAGACACCATACACTGTATAGCTTAGATAAAACCACCATCATTGCTAGATTTTAATACCCTTCACTGAATTATCAGATATCTGCAGACTCAGATGACTTTAGGGATGCAGAACACTTTCTCTACAACTGATAAACTTCTTCCAGAGCAGATCAAACGGCAGCAAACCGACGGATCAGTATTACAAGTTAGTATTTGTTCCAGGTCTGATGAGTAAACGACATATATTTCTATATATTTACAGTAATAATATACTTCTCAAAGCACGAGAACTCTGTGAACAACAAGAAAGTGAAAGCAAGTAACAGCAGCAAAAATAAAAGCATGGGGGGCTTCTACTGCTGAGCAGATCAATCGCCCCCTGCTTTTAAAGGTCCACAGAGGAAGTTCTGAGCTTATCAGTTACAGGTAGTGTTTGTGTTTATGTCGGGCTCGGCCATATTGGAAAAGAGATTTCATCTTTAGCTACTTCAACAAGACAAACTTGTTCCTGTCTGGTAAATATCTCCCTGTACGCACGTCTGGGATCAATCAGAGTTCCCTTGTGGTGAGGATAAATGATTGTGCCTTTCACTGTATTCCAGCTTGGGCTTCAAGCAAAGCAGCACCGAAGTATCATCTAAAACAACATGGCAGTGCTGACATTTAGTCTGTCACATGGGACACTGAGGAAAATATGTACCACTGCTGCTGTGAGGGGAAAAAAACACAAATCTGCAACTGTAGCTTCTTCTTTTCTTTGTAGAATTATGTGTTGAGTAAGTTTTTCTCCTGCAGATTTGTGTTTTTTTTTTAAAAACCATATGACAGTGATATTTTATAATACAACACTGCAAAAAATCACAGCAATTTGAACAGCCATTTTTTTTAACTCTACTGACACTATAATGTTGCCACAGAAAGTTAGTGAAGCACTGTCTCTTCGTTTTTGGTTTCCTCTCGACACGCAAAGCATTCTTCCACAAAACCAAAAAATAAACTTTGATAACATCTGGGATATTGAAAACAATAGCTTACTTACTGAGACAAAAGGTCCATTTCTAATGAGGCCACTTTTCGGAGGCAAGTTTCCAAAAGCCTTTGTGGTGTGAGGATCGCGTATAATTTAAGATGGCATCAGCGCGACCACAAGTCTGTTTCAGAAACTTTGCGGCACAACAGTCGACTGGAATCTCAAAGTCCATTTTTTTATAAACACTTACAGCTTCTTCAGGTTGTGTGTCCAACGGGAGCCTCTCCTTTTCTCCCCACTCTTGACAAAGTACGCACCTCCTGCTTGAAATGCTGAGTGTTGGCAGTTAAAAGTATTTCAGAAGAGCTTCTTTGAAGTTTATTATATTGTAAAAACAGCAGCAGGAACGAGAAGCCTGACTGTTTGCTCACAAAGAGGCACCCGTTGGACCTAACACACACTTGCGGTTTAAGTCACGCTACTATCATTGGCACCGACTTCACACACGTCTTCATCACATACACTTCGACCCAACCCTAGACCAGCAAACATCCCTGATCCCTGACCAGGACTCTGGGAGACGACCCCTAGAAGTGCCCCTGCGGAGGCCATGTTGTTGCTCACAGCAGCACTGCTGCTGTTACTTACACTGTTGTTACTACTGCTACTTCCTGTTGCTGAGATGCCGGTGTGCTGTGGCGACAGAACAGTTCCGGAAAGATGTGGAGAAGAAACAGACATTCCTCCTCTCCCTCCTCCCAGGATAGCGCCCTGTCCTCCTTCACCTGCAGAAAGGAGGAGGTGAGGGGAGGAAATCAAATCTGACCCATCCTCACCTCCACCTCCTCCTCTTCTCCCTCCCTCGCCGTTGCTCCCACCTTCCCCGCTCTCTCCCAGACCACTGCGCCTCTCACAGTGCGAGCGGTGCCTCATGAAGCTGTCGCGCCACATGAACTTCTTGCCGCAGCCGAGGCAGTCGTACGGCTTGAGGCCCGTGTGCGTCTTCATGTGCTCTGTGAGGTGATGCTTCATCTTGAACTTCTTGGCACAGACGGGGCAGTGGAAGGGCCTCAGGTCCAGGTGCATGTTGATGTGGCGGTCCCTCATGCTCTTGTGGGTGAAGGTCTTACCACAGTGGCACATAAACACTTTACCTGAACCCCCAGTGCTGCTGTTGCTGCCACCACTCCCACTTCCCCCTCCAATCCCCCCACTGTCTATGCCATCAACTCCCAAACCGCCCTGCACCGACAGGTGGACTGCACCGTGCTCCAGACTGGGACCTTTGAAAGAGGCTCCTCCTATCATACCACCTGCCATCCCCAGTGGAGGGGCGGCAGTGTCCAGAGAGAGCCCGGAGGCCTGACTATAGAGGAGGATCTGGTTCCCCTGCATGTCCAGGGGGAAAAGCTGGGCCCGGGCCGAGGCGGCAGACTGAACCTGGCCCAGCAGTGCTGAAACGGCGCGGTTAGCGCTCTGGCTCTGACTTGCTGCACTGTCATGAAGGTGCTGAGCTAAAGTCTGGTCCATTAAACTGCCTTCAAACTTGAGGTAGTCTTCTGAAGACTGGCAGTAGTCCACCTGGAGACAGACAAAGAAGAGAGGATTTAAGATAAGATAAGATAAGATAAGATACACCTTTATTGATCCCATAATTGAGAAATTCCAGTGTTACAGCAGTCAGGAGAAAGAGTCAGATTAAAGATGTCAATATTTAAAAACTTAAAAAACTTACAAACACTAGGCATGCAAAAAAGTACAAAAATACAGAAAACAGCAATAAATAATAACAATAATAATAATGAGCAGTGGATAAAAAGTGAGCAATGGATTAAAGTGAACATAAATCTGTGATGGATGCAAAATGCTCAGATTTTGCTGCACCAGGAAATTTTTTCCTAGTGACAGAAATATTTTTAAGCTATTTTGCACTTCTTCACTTCTCTATACAGTCCTCGGCACCTGCATGTTGGACAGACAATGTGCAGTGCAAGTCTTACATGCTGCATGAATCTAGAAAAGTTTTGAAGTTTAGAATAATGTATTTCTTTTGCAAATCTCCTAAGTTCAGATCGCGCTGTCATGTCATCCATGATGAAGATGGCCGACATGAGAGCTCCCCAGAGTGAAGCTAAAGCATCTCGATCACCCCCTGGTGGCTCGCTGCAGTATAATCTGGCAATCGCAATCTGGCTAAAAATGACATAACCAGTGCAAGATGGCAGTGTTTTGGCTTCATTATCGTACAGTGAGAGGAGGCTGAGATGCGTCGTCCATCTTTATATACAGTCATTGGTTACAACTAAATATTTTGCAACTTTGGTGCCCCCTGGTGTTGGTACAAAAACTGTCTTTTTTTAACAAACAAAAACTTCTGCTTTCAGAATATTTTAAAAGACACTGAAATAAAATGAAAAATCTAGTTTCGTCTTACCTGTGAGTCCATGTCATTCTCCGCTCTGCCTCCCAGATCAGCTGAAAGGCTCCTAACGTTGGAGATGTTGAAGTCACTTCTCTCCCTCTCTCTGGCCAACTCCATCTCCCGCTCATCCTCGTCCTCTTCATCTTCTCCTCCCTCCTCCCCAGACACTACGATGAGGTCGTCATCCTCCATGCGCTCGGTTTTCACCACCACCCACTGTTTGCGGGGCATAATGCTGGGCTGGCTGTAGGTAGGACGCTTCTGCAGCGGCATCGCTGAGTCCTCCCCATCCTTTCAATTCAGATATTTTACGTTATAATACAGTAAATGGTGGATATCTAGTCTTTGTCGTCAGCAAAACCTATCTATTTTTAGAGTATCATCTTTTTAAGGATCAAGGAAAAGCAGCTTGACTAACGTGGACCGAAAACATTAAAAGAAAAGCTGCTTTAAAACCAAACAAAATGACAAGGAAAAAAATTTAAATACTCCCACTACATTTGGATGTTTAGGATGCAGAATCTTCCTAATGTTCAGATAAGTTGCTTCATGACTGTGGGACCAGAGGAAACCATGTTCTGCTCATGACAATCACATTACATCTATTCAACAATGATGAAAATGCTGTATATCAATTATTGACAGACAATAATGTAAAAAACAAAGTTACTGAGAGGCTTTGTGTGAGTAAAACTTAAAAAAAAAAAAAAGCTTTCAGATTGATTTAATAGTGTCGGTTGCTCACACTGATGGAACCTCACCTGATAGGAAGACACACCAAAGCTGTCGCTGACTCCAACTTCCTGCTCTGACACTGAGCTCATTTTCTTCCTCCTCCCGCTGCCTCCTCCTCTTCCTCTCTTCCTTTGGTGGTACAACACCTCCTCCTCTTCCTCCTCTACTTCCTCCTCCTCTTCTTCAATAAGGAAGGCTTCCTCTCCTCCCGATGGGGTGCAATAGCTGGGGGTGTTGCTCGCCCCGCCTCCGTCCGCCGAAGCCCCAGCTGCAGCCGCACCGCTTCCTCCGAAGCTGCTCCCGTCCCTGGGGCTGAAGTAGTTGGTGCTGCTGGGAGACTGGCTCTCACTCACTGATGGGCGGCTGGGAGGTTGGGAGGCAGGTTGGGGCTCAATGGACCCCACCACCTGGGCTTGACCTCCACCAACAGCCCCATCACTACCAGCTCCATTACCACTGCCTGCAGCACCGTCACCATTGCTGCTGCTGCACCCGAGGTTAGCCGACCCTCCACCTCCTCCGGCACTGGCTCCCTCCTGCACGCCACCTCCTGCACTGCTCCCTCCTCCCGCTGCAGCCCGGCCCTCCTTCAGCAGCTCTGTGCATTTGTCCACGATGTGCCACATCTGCAGGACGCTGCCCACCGTGAGGTAGTTGACGATGTCTTCACGCAGCATCCGGAGCTGACCAGTGTAAGCACAGCTCAGCACGCTCTCAAACGCCAGCGGGTCCATTACTGCTGGGATGGAGACTGTAGACATGTTCTTCAGTAGTACCTGGGGGTGGGTGGAGAATGATCACAATGATACATTTATACATTTATGAATGATTTGTCTTGCCTCCCCCTTGATCTCCCCATGCCTGTTTCTTATTTCTCACACCAATTTATCATGGTGGAAACCTGCTGGTTCACAGTCCAAATCCTGATTAATTTATGTCATCTTTGGATGGTCAATCCATCTGCCTATCTCTCAGACAGTTAAAGTATCTCACTGCTGGAAAGATGGTCTTTTAAAAAAAAATGGGCTGTCTGTGCAGTAGAAAGATGCAAATACTTTTGAAATTGGCGCTGACCAGAAAAAGCAGCAAAAAAAGGGCTGCGGCATTTGCTTTGGCTTAAGAGGTAGAAAACCTAAAATTACATGAGTGCACTGTGTAGCATCAGACCAATAAACACTCCTGCTGGTGGGTGATGTAATGCAGTTGCCCTTCTGAAAACAATGTGGCGGCCGGCTGGTAGCAAACAATCTTGTATTTTAGTTAAACGGTAATCTAAAACATGTTTCTGAAAACATTTTAGATGAGGAGTATGCAGCAACAACAGAATCTTGGTTACACATACTACCCACATAGTTATGACACAAAGATGTTTGAGTCTGCATCAAGTGTCAGTAAAACCAGTCTTTGGCAGATAAAATAGAATAGATCTTTATTGTCCACCATGGGTGGAAATTCGTCTTCTGCTCTCCAAACTCAAAAGACAAAATTGTAAAAAGCACACAAATAGTCAGTTAGACAAGAACATAAAGTAATTATGACACACTTTAACACATTAGATCAGCCCATTGTCTGTATGTGGTTTAAAACCCATCAGTCACTTTGTTAAGATATGGATACTGATAACACTTGGGATGAGTAAGCGATTGTGGAAATAAAATACTTACAGCACAAAAACCAGGATGTGCAGACACATAATTTAAGTCTCTGTGTGAGGCTCAGCTCTAAATTTGTGCTTAATCAGATCTCTTCTGTCATGCTCATCGTTTTGGGGTTTTACCAGTTTCCTTACCAAGAAATAATAAGAAGCAGATCAGTTTAACTACACAGACTTTATGTCTCGGCACATTCAAAACAACACTGGTGACCATAATTTACAGTAAATCAAGTCTTCTTTTGACAAATGTAACTTCAGTCTTGTAGAAGTAGGATCTTATGTGAAAACTCAAATTTATAATAAAGATGTAACCTATATCTGATGACAACATAAACTGATAGTGATGTCAAAAATAGGTTAATTATGGTTTTGAAGGCTTCACTCTCCTTGTTGTTCACAACACGTTAGTTACATTGTACACTAAGTGATGACCGAAGTGTGTCATATCCACAAAGACTAATCAAGCCAACTATCTCCCTTTGAATCCACTGTCATGTCAATCATCTTATTTTGAGGCACTTTCTACATGGTCAAAATCAGACATAGATGAATATGACTCCATAAAGATTTCATTTGTTCATACTAATTAGAAAACATCTGCTTTCTGTCATCCACATGTTGGGGTTGTTTCCTAGCAGCATAAGTCTCCCACCTGGTCATGGAAGTAGGGTGAGGAGGCAGCCAGGACGCAGCGGTGGGCTTTGAACACTTGTCCCTGGACATGGATGGAGAGGTCACAGAGCCTGCCGTCTTCTCTCTGCTGGTTCAGGCTGTCCAGCACCGAGGCCTGAGCGCTGGGGAAGCACACCTGCACCACTGAGTCTGATGTGTCGCTGGGAGCCGAGCTGCTGCTGCTGCTGCTTCCCACTTCCATGGGCAGGGACTGCATCTGGGTGGTAATAAAAAAACTTTTGTGACTCCCAGTTTTGGCAGTTAAATTATAATCTTTAAGTTTGACTGCTTCCAGGTTTGTTAATGCTGAATATGTCCAGACCGTAGTGTGAGTTTTTATGTAGTGATGTGAGACAACAACCAGAAGACCTTGATCTGATATCCAAATATAGTACGTATAGTACTAGTATGGAAAAATCACATTATCGCCATTCTCAACTAGTTTGGACATCCCTCTGAAAATATTTTTAATGGATTATTAAAATCATATTCTGTTGGTCTAACATCAGAAAATAGAAAAAAAGTCCAACTTTTCAGAGTTCAAGTTGACATCTTCAAATGTCTTCTTTAATCAGACCAACAATCCAAAACTAACTGCATTTAAAATGATATATTACAGAGCAAAGCAGCAAATGCTCACACTGGAAGAGCTGCTTCGGAGAATTTGTCCCCTTCACCTTAAAGGGAACTAAAAACTAACCATTAATCAATCATCAAAAATACCTGCTGATTATTCATTAATTATCTGTAACCGCTTATCCTATTGAGGGTCACGCTGGGGTTGAGCTTATCACACCCTGCACAGGTCACCAGACTATCACAGGGCTGCCACATAGAGACAACCATTCATGCTCACATTCACACCTACAGGCAATGAGAATTCACCAGTTTACCTAAACTGCATGTCTTTGGACTGTGGGAGGAAGCTGGAGTACCCTGGGAAAACCCATGCTGACACAGGGAGAACATGCAAACTCCGCACACCACTACACCATCTGCCCACTGCTGATTAATTCTCTGTCAATCCACTTATTATTATTATTATTATTATTTTCAATAGTAGCTCAGTCCATAGGGAGTTGGGTTGGGAATCGGAGGCTCGCCTGTTCAAATCACCGTCCAGACCAAATATGGTAGCTGGTAGCTGGAGAGGTGCCAGTTCACCTCCTGGGCACTGCCGAGGTGCCCTTTTGCAAGGCACCAAACACCCCATCAGATTTCTCAGTTCACACATGGATTAGTCTGCCAACACTTATCAGAGTCTGTCACACATATTGTTCATTTAAAAATGATATAAAATCAGACAGTCAGGTGCAAATAATAATAATAATAATTATTATTATCTATTAGTGAAGGTTATTTCTCAAATTCTCAAACAGTAAAACTCCTAGGACGAAATTCTGGATTAAGTGTGTAATCACATCTTTATCCTTTATCAGAGAACATGTAACATTAGGTTGTCGATGCAGAGAGAACAGTGGCCAAATCAAGGAAGCTGCTGACTTGATCAGCCATGTTGTAACTTAGAAAAGACTCTTAATTTACCCAGAAAACACTGCAAATTAGTTCTACTCGAGTCAGCCCCTTGCAACTAACAACCTTAAGTGCCTATCTGAAGTGTCTTTGTTAGATCTCAGTCAAAGTGTGTCTTTGTGCAGCCAGCTCCCGCTGCATGTCACTCACAAACTGCACTTTATGTTTATTTACAGCCTTTTATATGCTGTGGTGGAATGTAACTAAGTACATTTACTTATGTACTTGTACTTGAGTAACTCCACTTTATGCTGCTTTATAATTCCACTACATCTCAGAAGTAGCTATTGTATGATTTAGGGACTGTTCGTTATTAATTAGAGGGGAGGGGGTGGTGCAAAAAAAGGGGAGGTAATGCCAAATGATTTTTGAATCACTGTTAAGGGACATTATGTGGGACAAACCCATCTCTCGGGAAAAACATGACAAATCTGAACTTAAAAGTATATTTAATCTAAATCAATTCATTCTACATTTAACATTTTTGCCAAAAATAAACCCTATGCACTGACTTACCAGCATGCACGACAAGAAAGAAAAACCAAGGCGTTTATCAACTCTAGAATTTTGTCATCATCTTTTAATTTTCAAAAATCAAAAGTTAAGTTTTTAAAATCTAATAACTTGGCTTGGGCGGTATCTATTTTTTTATACATTCACATCCTTCCTAGAGGTTCATGGTATACAACGGAATTAGGGTGCAGCAAAACACCCCCAACAGGTAACATTGTTAAACCTATTTTTCTTATTAAACACAGAAAAAACAAAACCATACACCCTCTAAATTCACGTTTCTGGCTTTTACCATAGTAAGACTGGCTTAATTGCCTTAACTCGGCATAAAACACACTTCATTCAAATTCCACTGAGACAAAATAAAACTTCACCAAAACCATTTTGGTTAGTCTTGTTAGTTGTTTAGTTAGTTATTCCACTGCTTCAAAAGTCAACACCTCTCGTTTGGTTGCAATGAACCCTTGATTCACCGTGTAAGTTGTGAATATAACCCTGAAATCTCTCTTATATTGCAGGCTCAGCTGTTTACAGTCTTGAAATGATCTTTTCACCACTTTCTACACAACACAATTTTACTCAAGCGCTTTCTACCAGCAGTTTGGATTAAAAGAAATAGATTTCTGTCAGAAAGAGCTTCCTTGGAGAAAGGCTACCAGGCAAACTTCTCCCCTGTGCTCTCAGCTGTCCGTTACACCAGACTGAACTCTGGTGGTGCGTCATGTGCACTACATGCAAAACATCCTAATTCCAACCTCTCCAGTATGAAGTCCATAAAAAGATGAGGGTCTGTATTTTTGATGATAATGAAAAACATGCCGTGGGGATTTCTAAATATCCTGATGTACCATACCATTTTTTGGAGAGGGTAAAACAAACAAACAAACAAACAAACACAACCCAGCCACCCCTTTCCTTTGATAAGTAACGAACAGTCCCTTACTCAACTACATTAATTTGACAGCTTTAGGTGCCTTGCAGATTTTTCTTGATAATAAGAAATACAAAAACAAATAAACTATAACATTATTATAGGCTGTGCTACCCAGCAATATATAAAGTCATTGAAATTAGCACCACCTTTACCAGCTGGAACAGTTATTGAAAAACACATTATTGCATCAAAAACTATATTCCAGTAATATATATTCTGCACCATGAGTAGTTTTATTTTTGGTACTTTAAGTGTATTGTGATGCTATTACTTCTGCGTTTTACTTCAGTACTACTTTGAATGTTTGAATGCAGGACTGTGAATGTTTTTACACTGTAATATTGTCACTTTTACTTAAGTAAGGGATCTGAGTACTTATTCCACCACTGGTTGTATGCATTTTTGTGTGTTATGCACACCGTGTGGGTCATATCACACTGTCCCTGCACTCACCATGGCAAATTTGATTGCACTTTGACAACATGATAGTTGCAAAAGGCTCACATCAACAGTATTATTTTGTACTTTACAGAAAGCAGAACCACATCACGTAATTAATTAATAAACAGAAAATGCCCACACCACACACACGACCACACCACTTATTGTTGCTGTGCTCTTAGTGCACGAGAAAATCAACAGCTGGACAACAAACATACTTGTAGTTGACAAGCTACGAAGACAAATCTGTTGCTTGTAAACTGACGCAGGCATTGTTGTGAAAATGTTTGTCTGATGGTTGTGTTCTGCTTTCAGACAGCACACTGTGAAACAAACCGTCAGAGCTTCAGACTCTGATCATACCGTTACAGATGTGACGTTAGCCTGCTAGCTAGCTCCGACGGCTGGCTACAGAAAACCGCGAGCCGCTGCGGACATTAAACTCACCGTTATTAGTTGACACTGCAGCCTTCACAAGTACAGTCTCTGTCCGAGCTGACGGCAGTGTGTCCTGCCAGTTTACCCAGGCCCTGAAGTTTGGGGACCATTTTTTGAAAATGTTCTCCCCATCTGATCTCTTCTGCAGCGGCAGACAGCGACGCGTCGCCTTTAAAAGAATTCCAGACAGACGAGCCAGACTTTGGCCGACAAAAAATACATAAAATAAACAATGGGATAAACATATTTAAATACAGCGTTAATGTGTACAATATTAACAACAATGGTTGATTTAAAATACTAATAAATCAATGTCTTGTTCCTATATTTATTCCTAACCATGCTTTAGATATTCATTAACATATATATATACCGTAAATATATATGATGAATAATACGCAACATTTCATTTTTCATCTTTTTTTCCCTTCCAAAAATCAGATTTCATGTGATAATTATATAATACAAACAAATGAATTTCTATAAAGAAAAACTAACAAGAAATATATTTAAAAAATACGATTCTGATGAGCAAAGATCATCATGTCCAATGTATTCAACCTCAGACTGACGCTAACACTGACTAATGTGACTGTCATGCTACATAACAGACCTCTCCTAATCTTGTTTATCCTCCAGGGCTGATGTGTAAACAACTCTCAAAACTGCAATAAAGTTTGTAAAACAAAAATAAAGGCACCTAGGTGTTTACAGTGACTGAGCTGATTTTCAAATCATAGCTGCTTGCTCAGTCTACACAATTTTTCAGATCATGCTTAATGTTTATGACATACTTTGCAACACCTGGTTTGACAAACATAAATCAGCACAGGAAATATATGTAGCCCAACTACAAAATGTCTTCATTATTACTAGATCAAGTTGGGCCAGAAAGTATAAAACTAACAATAATCACTTTCCACCATAAGTCAAGAAAAACAAAAATAACAGTGTCAGTTAAACTACACTACATTTATTTGCAATTATTGTGCAAATTATACATTACACAAGATATTCAGAAAAAAACTTAACATGTGACATGTCCAATGGAGATTAAAAGGCTCAACTCGGCTTAGGAAAATCGATCGCGAACCCTTGAGAGCACTGTATGCATTTAAAAAAGAAATCTGAAAGTCTATCTAAAAACATGCATATGTACACGTCAACTTGATTTACATAGAAGCATAAACATTTTTAAAAGCCAGTATTAGTGATCACTAGTCAAAGCCCTGAGAATACACAAGACTTATAGTTTTTGGTTCTTCCTGATTGGCGCTAAAGCCAAACAGCACAATATGAAATTTAAAAAGGGCCTTGGTAAATAACAAGATATCAAGACTGTGATGATAGTTGGGTTGACCATCTGTGCCTTAAACAAATATTTACACAATGGTATTTTTGATAAATAATCATCAGTAATGTGGATATTATGATTAAGTGGGAAAGGGGATACAACAGAACAGCTGGAATAGTGTGGTAAATTTAGAAAATTACACTTTATTCTAATGCAGCGTTTAAAACCAGGAGAAAGACTGTTGATATATGAACTCAATACCCACACAAATACACCCCTCCCATTTGTGCTCCTTCAGAAGCTCAGGTAATATCTCCATTGTTAAAAAATCATTACAATCATGGCATAGCTCTATTCCATTGGTGAGGACGTTGAAGGAGCACACACAGAACAGACAGCTGGTGGGCTGCGAGGAGATATTCGCCGAGTTTGACATAAAAGTTTATTGGATTAGAATCGCTGACTTAACATTTGAGTAGTCCGTTACTTCTTGTTGGCACTTGCAGTCCCGATGACACAGTCGTTTACCTGTAAAGAGAGGAAACACAAAATATTACATCAAAAGCAAAGTCAAATAAAAAAATCTTACAGTGAAATGCTACATTCAGATCATTTTACACTGTAACATAACCAGAGGGTTAAAAGCATTCCAGGAGCCAATTTGTTAAAGCTAGATAACAGATTGGAAGATAAAGCTATTAGTCAAGGATATAGCTAATTCAATGATGAAGACTTAAAAAAAACCTTTGTTTAACATTGCTAGATGGAGCACTTTTGAACTGGAATCAGTACTTATTCTTAGAATGCTTTCTCTTGTACTTTCCTTGGTAATAAATCAAATTAAAATTCAATGAAGTTAGCATACTCATGTCATCTTATTCCAGCTGTTTCATCAAGACAGACAGGACATTAAACAACCATAGATGCCACTGACCTTACTGGCGAACCTTAAGGAATTGAGAGTTTCCCCAAAGCTGTCTGGCTCTGGGGCGATGTTCACAAACATCAGGCTGGAATGAGACATACATAAACATTATGAACATTTAAAAAAAAAAAAAAAAAGAGGCTAAATGCTCTGCTTTCAAAAATTATTTTCCCTGTAAAAATTTAACTCATAATTAATCATTTGTTTGAACTCACGTTTTGCTGTTTCCTCCCAAGCAGCCCTGCAGAAGGTAGGTAAGCTTGGAGTTCCTGTATGGGATGTAGCTCTCCTGAAACACATGCACAATCAGTTTATGTCACAAACAAAATGAATACTGGAAAATAAACAGAATTTTGATTTTTAAACCATATATCTAAGGCTTTGTAGACTCTGCAGTCTTTCTGAGCTCAGCGCTGTTGTTTTCAGCCAGGCTCCTGCTTACAAACCTTGTTGGCAAGTGCAGCGATGACAATGCCCAGGTTGGACAGGGAGCCGTTGATGGCCGTCATCTCTTTGAAACGCTCGCCCTGAGACTGACTCTTCAGCATTCGCTCACTGCCGGCCAAGTCCACCATGCATAGAGTGGCTGTGCACATAAAAACAAACGGAGCACATATCACATATGCAGCAACTAAAGCAGTTATAGACAACTGAACAAGATGTCTATCTTCGCCACAGAGTTTTGATGTTCTCAATACACAAGTGAAAGCACATTTCTGATACTGGCATAATCAGTGGGATTATACTCACACTTGCATTTGACGTCCCTGCCAACATTTACTCCCTCGATATCCAGCTGGAAGACTGAATGGGAACGAGAAGAGCGGTCATTCTGGGCTGTCTGAGCCGTGGAGCGATTCTGACCGGCCAACATAATCAGGCCGAGAACCTGGCAGGCAGAGGGGATCATACAGATTATTTACTGTGCAGTAACAAATGTATAAAGAGCATCACATGTACACAGTTAACCAATACTTGTGCACTTTGTTTACCTATTTAAAAATGAATGACCTCAAATCCGCTGTGAATGACTGCAAGCTTTAATATTAGGTTGTCTTTAATAAGGAAGCTATGTTACTGAGCAGTACAGTAACCCAAATGTCTACCATACCTGATCTTCATTGGAGACCTTTTCGTAGGTCAGATTGGTGATTGTGATCTCATTATTAGTCGACTTTCGGATCTCATGCTCGGGCCTCTTGCTGGCCTTGCCTGTGTAGAGTAGGTCTCGAAGGGTCTCATTGTAGATTTCAACAAAACTTGCAGTGAAGGAGAACTGAAAACAGAAATGGTCCTAACTTTTAACAAATATATTTGTTTTCCCCCATCATATACGGCATCTCCTCCACAGTTCCTGAGTGCAGGTAGGAGAAATACATTTGTGGTGTAAAATGTATGGTCTGCCCTTGGTTTTGGTGGCTGGTTGGTATCAAAAGTGGCACACAGCATGAATCTGCACTGATGTGGGTGCCAAAAGAAAAAAAAGCAGCTTTTTTTTGCTTTGCTCAGGGAGAAATCACACTAGTGTGAAAATTCTCCCAATGCAACAGCCTGGATTGCTCTCTAGGAGCTGCACTCTGTCTTGCACTGTATTATGACACTGTGTTGCCCTTAAAAAGGGTCTAAATGTACTTTCTTACTCCATTAAGCAACCACACGTATCTGAATGAGTGCAAAATTTAAGTCCTGAGCATTTCGTGTGGGTGAATAAGTCTTGTATCTGGCTATAAATATATCTCAGCAGCAAACAAGCCAAAAATGATCAAGTAACTAACATAGTAAAGACCTATAAACCTGAAATCAAGACATAAAGCAGATATAATTCATATTTTTACTATAATGTGTTACGGGTGAAGGTAGGGTACGCCGGCCTTGTCTGTGTCCTCTGTCTCTCTCGCCTCGTCTTTTCCCACAGGTTCCACCCCCGTCCCTCTTTCTGATCACAGAATGGTTGAACAGATCGGCGTACAATCTGCTCCTTAGGGACATGTTAGTTAAAATGATTGGAGAAACAAAGAGATAGTGCCCTTGGGCCAATGTGGCAGCTTCACTGGTGAGGGTTATTTAACAGTGGATACTTGAGTTGTGGTGTATTGGAGTTGGTAGTCTTTACTGCCTTCTATAGGGAGTGTGTGTTATTAGTGTTGCGTTTAATCCCTACATTTGATTTAGCTACTTCTTTGCTGTTTTAAAACTGCTTCCTTTTTTGATTAAATATTTCAGTTCATCTTGTTGAAGACATTTGTATGCCTTTTTTTCATGTAAATAAGATCCCAATTTTTGGTTTGTTCACACTTGCATTTGTCTTGCTCCTTTCTCTGGTTTCAGTTTACTGTTACTCCCATCATCCCCTGGGCACAATGGGGGAACTTCACATAATGTATCAAATGACGATGTGAAAGAGGTTGCGCATAGTGATAAACCTACAGCAAACTATAATCTGAATCTGCAGCTCCCTTCTGCTTTACCGAGCTTTATAGTGCATTTTAGCTCTTTGTTTAGCCATCAACCCAACACTTTACTGTTCTGGTTGACTCTCACTGCTCTCATAGTGTTGTTTTGAGGCACAACAGGCAGCTGTTTTCAGAGGAAAAGCTCTAAAACCCTACAGTTATTACCTGATCAGCACCAAACAGACACAGTTAGAGAGTAGGTGGTGGTAAACACAGAGGAGCATTTAGCAGCTAATTAGACAGATACTTACCTCAGGATTTGGGAAGGAATGTTGCACTTACACTTGTCTGGTGGCCAGATATACACCACAGAATGAATGATAGTGTTTTTTCTATGTAACGACTGGATGTGTAAATCAGCATCTGAACTGACAGGTTTGCCATATCAACTTAAAAGATGATGACATGCCAATGTTGCGTTAACAACTTGTTTCTGCTGCCCCTAAGTGGCCAAAACATCGGTTATTACAGGTTCAAATCCCTTT